CCTCTGAGCTACTAGTAGAACAAGCAGCAACTTCCGCTACCTAAGTAGCAATATTCTAACATATATAATTTAATAAACCTATATAAATTAATACTCTTAATAAGATATAATATAGTAAATATATAAGAATAGAAGCGCTAAATATTATATATTTTTATTATAAGTATTAATTATTATTTTAATATAACTATAGTTTACTAATTCACTATATATATCATAATTATATTATATTATATTACTATCCTAATTTTAACTATTATTTAGTTATTATTCTTAACAAACATGTATTTATTAAGTTTATACATATTAAGACACTTTAGTAGTAATATTAACTTCTTTTTAAAAAGTAAACAAAGTCTTATAGAAGTCTACTTAAATTCTTATATTATATATATTAACTATAAAGTTAATTCTTCTAATAGATATATAGTTCTCGTAGGTAAGAGTATAGACTACTATTCTTTTCTAAGATAATAAATCTTATACGTTATATAGCAAATAAAGGGGGAAAAGTAAAGCAAGCGATAATCTATAGAAGAAAATCTATAAAACTAAAAGGCTACTAGAATAAGATAGGTTAACGCTATAATAGGAAGTAATTTACTATAAGAGACTTGGTAAGGTGATACCAGCATCTACTTATCTATACGCACCCGCTCTAGGAATGTAACAGCGCAGGGTGAACTATCAAAGTACCTCACCGCGGATGTGGCGCGTAGACGGATGCCAGATTGTGGGGTGGTGATTACGGCCCAGCCTGGACGGTTGGCAAGCTTCCCGGTACTACCCCTATAATACCGCACCCGCCACAATACTGCGCATAATGCCCCTGAACCCAACCTGTGCAGCATTCCACCGCTGCTCGGCTTGCGTGGAGTGAATTTTGCGACGAAACTATGCCCCATTATTCTTAAATCAAGCTTAATAGCAGCAACACTGTTTTTACGCATCTGCTGTACCTAACCTCCTCTGATATGGCTTCTTTGGCTGAACGAGTGAAAGTCGCACACGCGGCATGGCAATGCAAATACACTAGAGGCGATTCTAAATGGGTTCTGAAGTAGCTTCATAAGCTTTGTGAAATGCTTGTAAATCACAGCAATGAACTCATTGGCCATCTCTCAGATTGTAAATTTATAGCGTCCTAGGCTTTAGGTGATACTAATCTTGACTGGTTACAGCTGACTGCCCGGTCGAGTGTGAAAAAGAATTGGCTTTGCTCGTCTTCGACGTTAAACAACATGTTGCAGAGATTAAGAAAGGCAAGCAAAAGGAGAAATATTATTCAAAGCACGTGGGTCATGTCGAGATCCAAATCCAGGCTGTGGGTGTGAGTGTGATTGTTTCCGGCGCGAACAACCCTGCACATAACGTTATATTTGCTTTGGCTGCATCCATCGCTGCTGTGAATGTCACGGTGCTTGCTACTACAATCGACTCCAACAATGCCTTCATTGCACTGTTGAAGAGTCTCTGGAGGCGGTATCTCGATCCCGATTGTCTCTTTCTTGTGACTGGGATAAGAGATTTGACCTTGGATATGGGAGATATCCATATGATGACGATTTATGGTGAACACTCAGAAGAAATATCATGTTTTCCACAAAGAGTTAACGCAATGCCTAGATGATGCAAGGAACAACTATGCTACCGCCCTCGAATCTCCGAAAGCGCGTTTTGTTCAGACAACGATCACGGCAACCAACCTTGCTGTGGTCACTGAAGGTCACAAAGATTGGCATTCAATTGCCATGGACGTCTGTCACATCTCCTCAATGCGTACTTCCTCCTACCGCCGACTCAATGCCATCTTTATAAAGAAGGATGACATGGATCAGTGCGAGCGGGCCTTCAGCAAGGGCCCCAATTTGAAGGGAGCCACAATTATGTCTCCGCAGGTTATACTGGACATGACCCAGGAAAACATTGCAATAAAAGGTCTTGAACTTCGCCTTCAGTCTGCAGCGGATATTGGGCATTTGCTGATTATTGTTGTTAATTCGCTTGAGCAAGCTTTCGATTCAATGATCAATGTCAACGCTCTCATCCATCAATTGGCGATCTTAGGACCACGAGCCGACGATGTCGCAATTTATATTAATGACTGGCTTGAGGTAAATATCATCTCTGTCGGCTTCCATTTCCCAGTTCTGCTCCCTAGTAAGCACTAACTATAAATACGTGTTAGGGCTAGACTTCCATCGTCAGCAACCATCCTATACGACACTCATCTCCCCTGCCGTGTTTTCCCGACCTCTTATTCGCGCGCGATACCTACCTGTAACGTCACGACCGAAAGATATAGGGAGCCTGCGAGCTGATTACGAAACGATGGTTCCTTTGCGAACGTGTAGGATTTTTCACACAAGTGAAATACTTGGTCAAGGGTATGGGCATCGCCACTGGGCTGATGGTTATTGCTGGAGTCGCATACGTTGTGGCGTCTCATCGATCTCGTTTACCTTGACCTTTGGCCTGAGCTGTTCATAAGCCTTTGCTATACACGTGGTCTGAGAGCTCATGAAATTCTTCTCAGATGCTACATATGTAGTATTTTTCTTTTCTTTGTATGAATTCTCAGCTCTTCTCTGATCCCTCACCATGTTGGTTCTCCACTTAGCACATGTTACTCGTCGTGATGATTCGATCCTCCGACTATTAGGCATGAATGACCCCCATAAGCGTAAACTGCAGCGGAATGAAGCATGATAATATTATGCCGGGCTTGCTTCTTGGAGAAGTCTCAAAATTCTCAGGAATCCAGAGGCGATCTTGAGATGGAGCCGTTGTAGCATATCACAGCCTACTTTGAGAATACCTTTAGCTGCCTCAATATCCGGAATTGGCTGTAGTAATTCGGCGGTCCATTTGACGAGGATGGCAGAGAAACCACAGATAGCCAGATGCGGTGCCTCACCTTCAGTCTTGGGATATTCTCCCAAGCCGTTGCGGTTGATGAAGCTAGGCGACTTAATTTTGCCAGAATGAGATACAATTACCTCTATAAGGTCCGTCGCATGGCTCAAGGCAACCTCGCAACCAGCCGATGATTTCCATTGATGCGCTGCATCCAGTATCGTATTTTTAGGCGACTCGCCCACACTGAATATGCGTGCTAGGCGATGCAACATGGTCATATTTGTGTGCAAGACAATAAAGCCCATATGGAACAAGGCCAAAGCTGCCGCGTCTGGCAAAGATTGGTGACTGCGAAGCCATTTGTGGAGCGCAAGCTCAAATGAGGATAGGTTTAGGAGATGTTCTGATGGGATCATTTTAGAATTTGCGGAGGTTCCTTGCATGGCAAGCAAAAGTACCGACGAGAGAGCATGTATGCTATTTCTTGGTCGATCCAAATTCACCGATTGACCAGAAGGCATGAAGAGATTTTGCAAGTTTTCAACATCGACAGTTTTAGTCTTACAACCTTGAGAAGCATCGGTGTTCGTCTGTACGCACGTCAAGAAAGATCTTATGCTGAGACCGGTAGGCCATTGGAATAGTATCGCTCGATAGCATTCCAGTATGTGTATGTCGTCGGTAACCCTGCACAGCGAAATTAGCATAGAAGTTAGCTTAATAGGAATAGCTACTGCTTGCATTTGAATACTGAGATGGTTATCATCGGATACCGATATGTCTGGAAATCTGCAGCGGCTCAACACCTGCGTGTTGGATGTCAGTCAAATTGTAAAGCACTTTTAGTCGACCAGCTTGCCTGTAGGAGTTGCATATGAGATGCTTCCGCAATCTCGCATTGGCGCTTATCGCCACTGAATATACCAAATATCTCAAGAAGTATGAACTGTGGTCAAGGATTAGAAATTTGCTTAGACAACGCTGGGTTTCGCAACCCACCGCTCGTGTAAGACTGAGGCCTTGTTGTGTATCCTCTGGATATTGCAAATTCGTCTGCTTATCGGATGAGAGGTTAATGACCAAACTAGCGATGAACAAAGGAAGTCAAGACACATCTGTATCATATCTTACCCGCGTTAATGCCAACCTCCTTGCATCACCACTCATGGCGCGAGCCATTACGTGACTTCCACTTGTGGTACTATAAAGGCCTCCAACAGCAGCCATTGCCAGAACCTCTTCCTCTGTCGTGGTCTTTCTAATCCGGAAATTGTCCCAAGAAGAAAACATCGACGGTAATTCCTGGAGGAATAAGTTGATAAAGTGATTCACAATAACGCGATCGAATTTATCGAGTGATGGTTCCAGCGACAACCATCGAGTACTAGCTTGATCGGTATTCAAAGCCAGAGTCTGCGGTATCTCCTGGCCTGGGCCTCTTCCCAGAATGCTATAGGGAATCCCAGAATCATGATAGGTGTCCAAAGTCAGATTTTGGTATGCGTCGGGTGCAAATCCTGTACATTCTTGTAGTTCCATGTCGCCATCAAAAGGAAACAGGAAGTTGAACACTTCATGCTCGATATCGAACCCCTGCTATTTCAGTCAAAGGTTCCAACTTCTATCAGGCAAAACTAACAATATCACCGCGTCCGTTTATCCCTGAATCTAAGCGACTGCTGATTTGAGTTTGGAGCTGATTTATTCGATTAAGCTCGGGGATCTCATTTGTTGGAGCCTCTTGAACAAGGCCATGGTTTTCAGTATGCTCGAATGGTAGGTCGGTGTGTGTTTCTAGTTGTCCAGCGATTGGATGAACAGACTGCTGACTACTCATTCGGTCCGTAGATATCGTACTAGCAGTGCTTGAAGTTTGGAGATGGTCTGGTACCGAGGTAGACCCGACGGACCACCAGGATTCACTCCTTTCTGCGACCGTTATCTCTTGGGCATCCTCTCTACCACTATCAGAGTAGTTGGCAGGTTTTCTTTGACTGTACTCGCATGGACGAGCTCTTCTTTCGCAAGCTGCGCATGGATGCGCACCTGAACACTTCAGTTTTTGTGTGCGACAACCATCACACGCTACCCTTGCCCTCCTGTCAATAGCCGTTGGTTTGTTCCGACTTGCATTGTTTTGGAGACAAAATTTGGCTGTATGACGGTTGCGAGCGTCTAACCGTTGAAATCTACGGTGACAGTTTGGGCAAGAAAATGGAGAATCTTCCGTATCTGGTACAGTCATGTTAGAGGTTGTTTAAAGGCTCTGCTGCATGAGGCATATTCGAAAAAGTCATATGTGCGCATACGTGTATGTTGGTGTCGCTGCAAATGATCCGATCGAGCAAAAGTCCTCCGACATATAGAGCACTTTTGCAAAGGTAATTCAGCTGGTGCCAAAGTTGACGTGCGGTGTTGATGCTTACATACGGATTTGCTATTTGATCGGAGTTTACTAGGGGACATCGTTTCTTGTTGCATGAAGTCCTCTTTATTCCGCTTACAGGGCACAAAAGTGAAACATAGAACGATTCGGATGAAGTATGCGACAGTGGGAATTAGCTGGGAGTCTCTAGGAGCCTGATGTTGCAGTCTAGGAAATGGACCATACAAGAAATCAAAACACAAAAATCGTGATGCTTAGACTTTCTGCTAGTAGCGCAATAGACCACGTGATCAATTTCTTGAATTTACACTCAACCCAATCTTAAACACTAAGACTATAGAATTATGTATAGTTACACACTCAAAGAGATCTTTATATACTTGTTTTTCATCCTTAACATTCTAAGAAATCAATATCTAATAAACACTCATAGTGTGTAATCGACTCGACGCCCTCCAAGTAGCCCCTCGACGGTTGCCCACAGAATCCGGGTGTTGCCTCGGTCACTCGGAATCTATGCATCGTCTGCGCGGCGCTTAGAGAATCCTCGTTTCTTTTGATTGAAAGCTGTATCTACTAACTATGGGATCTAGGTAAACACGGAAGTGTGTGGGGGAGCCACATATTGAGCCTCGGGTATAGTAGCGGGAACATCATTACCCCGCACAAGCGCATCCGGCCATTCGCAGCCATCATCCACCGAAGTCTGTGTCAGAACTGACAACACGACCTATCTGACATACTGCGTGCTGCAAAACTATCCATTCTTATATGCGCCATGGATTTGGCATCTGCACAAAGCTCAAGCCAAGTTGACCAGCGCAGCGTCGCGCCAGCGACTGAGTCACCCTCTGGAGCCGGGAGCCCTTGGCCAATGGAAAGAACACCTGGGTTGCTTGACGCTGAGCGTGCCCATCGTCCTGTAGACGCCAGTTTTGTTAAGTCTTTCAAAAAAGCCGTCATCAGCGCCGCTGCTCGTGACACAGCGTATTTGACTGATGCTACTGAGCTTGATAAGATATCATCCCATCCAGACGCGCTACAGGTAGGCCTACCCTTATGTTAATGAGCTTTTCACACTAGCTCATGGGGGCTCATGGGAGTGAACAGACATATTATCCGCTTATACTATCACGCCAATTACCTGCCCTACCACTGAACTCGGTGTCTCATACGCTGTTGGATACGTTCTTGACCCAAGGGCACCCTAATATGCCTCTAATCCATCACATTCCACTCACTTCGCTTAGTCCAAGGGACAGATCCGGGTATCTGGCCTACAGCATGGCTGTGATTGGCCAATTGATTCAGGACAGAAACCTCGCCGCCGCTAATTCGATTTGGACTACTGCCAATGTTCTCATTGTATTAGGACTTGAGGTTGATAACCGTGAAGCTCGTAATGTAGAGTTGCTCAACGCTGTAATGCCCGCCTTGTAGGAACTGAACCGGTTCTTCTGACTAATGCGTGCTCCAGTGGGCGCTCCTTGCGACATATGGTGCTACGTGTGCTGATCCGGTCTTTTGGCAGCAGATGAATATAACACAAGGCTATGTAGGAACTGTATGTTTCTGGTGTCTTTGAGGAACCCAGGTGCTGACAGATTTTCAGGCTGCACGGCGGTTGTGTGAGTTTTCAATATTTTAGACATATGAGCGCTTGTCTGATTCAATATTTGCAGGTGGTGATCTTACCGCTATTATTGAGTGGTAAGCTTAAGGATCTCGATGCTCTACATAAGCTAAATGAATCATTGTAGCATGCCTGCCATACTGCTTGCAGACGTGCTGCGCTCGATTCACTACGGCGAAGCGCTGTCTGTACTCACCAGGGAATGTCTCGCCCATCCCACACGTGTCAACCATGCTGCGCTTGAGATACAAGCCGTCCTACTGAACGGCGAGTGCCCACCAGCGCTTGAATTGATGGAATTCGGCTCTTTGACAGCACTTGTCGCTTTACTTGCGAGAATTCATACCTTCTGTGATTCACTTGATCCGCTGTCGACCGCATGCAATCAAGTCCAGACGACTGCAAGCCCATCTCAACGCAGCAAAACACCCATGTCCTATAGCTTATATGTTCCACTCTCTCTCAACAATGAGACACGACTAGTCAGACGACAACTGCAAAAGGCACTCGAACTTTGGGCTGATGTTTATCTGCACGCTTCACCTCAAGATATCAGGACTCTCTATCATCTCTGTGAGATGTACTTGGCTCTGCCAGCCTTGACATGGTTACCAGTTCTGGCAGGGTATCCTCCACGTCTGTCTCAGGCAAGTGTTCCAATTGATCAGATACAACTGATAGTGGGCACTCATATACGAGCTGATAGCAAAGCCCAGATGTGTGCCTGGAGGATTTTAGAATCCACGAGTGAGGTCACAACGCCACTGGCGCCCTGGCTTCCTATCGCTGTGTTCTATGCCGCGCTTGTCGTATGGAGAACCTTGCAAGTACAGTCTGCTTCTCAGATATTTTACTCGCGGAAGGTTTTGAATCTTTTCAGGGACGAATTGAAGAGACTGTGCTGGCCATGTCGCGATGTCATGATAGAAACGCTAGAATTGCTGGCCTCTTGACCTAAAATATTCTATACCAGGCTGTCTGATCCTCGGGGTTTATTGTCGCAAAATAACGTGACATGTAAATATCAGTTTATTTCTAGTTGATGTCCGTGCTTGGTATGATAGGCAAGACGAGAAAACTCTGTTGCCCTGGACCAAAATGGATATTATTCCATGCCTTCAAAACTGACTCTGGCCGATCTTCAGGATGGTTATGCTCGAACATACCGCCTCCTTGGGTATCGCGCCCGGCGATCTGTAAGTCTAGCGTGTGGCCTTTGCCTATTACTCCATTTGTTGGCCAAATCTCTACGTCTACCGGATAAAGCTCCCCAGGAATAACCTTCTGTACATTGGACGAGAAGTAATTACGGTGTGGAAGGTATTCACGATGAGCTGGATGCGAATCATCAACTCGGCGCAAGGATAAACGAAGCCAGCCCTTAACAACGGGTACAGGCTCACCGGTCGTTCCAGTGTAAAAAACTGTTCTACGTTACTATTTTATCCTCGCATTTGGAAAGATGTATTTTGATTTACGTACCCTCATTGCCTTGGGAATCGTAGTGCCGTAAGGTGAGGAAAATGTCCATGTTACATGGCGAGGCACCATCCATCGAACTCACAGAGGCAACCAAATGCGCCAAGGGATGACTGGTGATTTCGGCTTCCTCCTCACACGGCGCTGTTCGAAAATTGACTTCGCCACTGCGTAAAGCCATTAACAAGTATTCCATAAAAGTATAAGTTCTAGCAAATAACTAACCTCAAAGCATCGTATTGTACCATGCCTTTCCCTGTTGGATCTGTTGTGCTCAAAGTGTTTTCCTTGCCCAAGAAGAATTTCTTATACTGCGTGTTAGCAAGCGGCCAATGCGACTCCTTTCTTCGAGGAAAAGCTTTCCGCTCTTTCTCAGGAACATTGACTCCAGAGTTACCAACGCGGAGACACATGTCGACAGGGGGTAGCTTTCCTGGGACTGTCCAACCCTCGAGATCTTCTCCCTTGAGAACGGCATCAAGGAAAGACCTTTGGACGGCAACCTCTTCGTCATAGTAAAACGGGAGGTCATGGCGTCCAGTGATGCATCGAAGGTACTTGAATTCTGAGCCTGCTTGAACATATCCCTGAATATTTCCTCTTAAATGTAGCAAAATGCCTCCCTGTCAGCAGTTAGCCTCAATCTTTGATATGTTTCGAGAATGAACTAACCCAGTTGGCAATACTAAGGAGGGGAACCTCGATGTCTGCAAGATTGAAATCTTTGCTCTTGAAATACTCATCGTCTCGGTAGCTGTTGGCTGCCGTGTCTTCAGGCTTTGACCGACGACATGATATAAGCTCTTCTTATGGAAGCTCCCGTTCTAGAGGATCTGGACCCCAGTTCCGACTTTCGCAGCCTCACAGTCCATACTGGTTTGATACCACCTGGCGATTCCACTACCAATCTTACCATCAGTCAGCGCCACTTGGTCGATAGAAAGAATGAATAGCTCAGACTCAAAATCTGGAATCGGACCTCAATAAAACTGCAATTGACTTACCGATGAAAGTGTTTGACAAAATCCCACCGTGGCGCACTCGATCACGATAATAATCGCTCATGCCTAGGAGAATCATAACCATTAATGGCTGCCTGTGAGACCCAGCAGAGCAAGGGAAATACGACATACCTTCCCATGGCACTATAGCGGCCAGACCTTTAGGTCTACGAGCCGCAACCCTCCACTGACTACCAGCGTAGTAACTAATCCCAAGAAGCCCTATCTTCCCGCTACTCCACGACTGCTCCGCAGCCCACTCAATCACATCGACAAAGCCGTCACTAGTGGACCTGCTCATAGAGTCCAGCATACCATGGGACTGCCCACATCCACGTTCATCTACTCGCAAAACAACGTAGCCATTTGCCGTCCAGTAGCGTGGATCTAGGACTTCCCAAGCAGAATGGGTGCTCTTTTGTGCAGGGTTTACCTCTGCAAAGGATTTGGGATGGAAACTTTTGTCAGTTGTTAGGCTAAGCCTCATCATTAAGGATAGGTTGTGTGCTCACGATGAGTATAGGATGTCTTTTCCATCTGTTCATATCGTTAACATACAATACTGAGTCGGTACTTCATCGAACCACACTCACATGGTCCGTAGGTAACGAGAACAGGGTACCTCCCCTCGCTTTTTGGACGATATACGTTGCCCCTAACATGGATCATCCGGCATAGATGGAGTAGCGGTCCTTAATGGGATGTCGACATTTGTTTCAACAATATAATCAGGGAAAGTTTCTACTTTGTGAAGATTCCGAATTTGGAGAGGCATTATTGCAATGTCTTTTGTTGCTGAAAATCGCCAGATCTCAAGACAGCGAAAGGTATTAGTATTCAAAAGATGTTTCTATGCCATCACGAGATCTTCTCTATCCCGAGACACCGTTCAATGCACCCTACCCCACATCGGCCCGAGCCTGTCGGCAACTCTCTGCTTGTCCAACCCGGTGGGGCGAGGCGCGTATGTGCTCTCCCCACACTAAGCCGGGACTTGCAGGGCACTTACTTGGCGAATATCCTTCGAGATAAAGACATGTCCAAACATGGTCCTTTCGAACTATATTTGCATCCATCCGTTTTGAATTAAACTTTACAACAGCCATTCGACATGAACTCCACCAACGGACATTTCTTGGTCCTTAATATCGGAGTAGTAGGCGCAGGGATCGCAGGTTTGGCTGCAGCTGCTGTGTTGAGTCGTCTAGGACATAATGTGGAAGTAAGTAGCCCTATGTCGAAGTCTGATTTGCCACTCAGAAATAATTTTACTAAAACTTAGGTAGCTGTATGAACGCTCACATTTTACGAACGAGGTCGGGGCTGCTATACACATAGGGCCCAATTCGGCCCCAATTCTACGTGCGCTGGGGTTTGACATCGCTGGCGCAAAGCTACTTGAAGTGCAGCAGGTAGGCAGAGGATCCGACTTGATTCTGATAGTGAATGTGAATTCTGGAGCTAATATCCCAGGGTGTGCAATTCGACGGGGAGACAATGAAAGAGACGTACCGTGCCAACTATGATGATTATCGTACAAGATACGGGGCACCGTGGTACTTCTCGCATCGTGTCGACCTACACAGAGAACTGAAGCGGCTTGCATTGCAGAAAAAAGAACGATCCCGCGGCGCATCATTGAATCTTTCAGCAACTGTAACCTATGCCGACTGCGAGAATGGTATTTTGACATTTGCAGACGGGACCGCAATTCGAAAAGATGTCATAATTGGCGCAGATGGAGTTCATGTTCGTCCATTTTTGCCCACAAATCTGCTGCGACGAAAACCTTCATCTGACTTACTGCTTAGTCCGTCGTTGCGCAATCTGTCCTAGGTGGCGCTATGCCCAAAATTGAGACCAGTCATTGCGCGTACAGGTTCATGGTCCCTACAGCCGAGCTTCTGAAAAATAGCTCAATCGCGCCATACTTCCAAGAAAAGAAAACAACTTTTTCTATAGCTGCTGGTTCTGATCGAAGAATCGTGTGGTATCCTTGCAGAAAGTACAAAACATTAAATTTCCCTGGTTATCAAGATTAACTGCTGATGCACTGCAGTGGAGAACTAATGAATTTTGTTTGTATCCACCCAGCCAAGGATGGGAGGTTGGAAACAGAAGGTGAGCAAGGTCTTCATACACAAATCAAAATCCTAATTGTTAATAAAGAAGATAGAGTGGAATGTTTCGGGAAATACAGAAGACCTAATTGCTACATACTCCTCCTTCCATCCCGCTCTTCTGGACATATGTAGGTGAGCAAAACGTACCTTTCCCAATTCAAGCACTTGAATCAACTAACAGAGGTGCACAAAGCCTCGTTAAAGAACCTAAGCTTTGGAAATTAGTTTATCGACCACCTATTGAAACCTGGGCGAAAGGCAAAACTATCCTCATTGGTGATGCAGCACATCCGATGCTTCCTCGTACGCACCTACGACCCCCTGCAAGTTGATAACGCTAACCGAACATCGTAGATCAAGGCCAGGGAGCAAATCAAGGCATTGAGGACGCTGGCGCATTAGGCGTGTTCCTCTCGCGGATCTCAAGTCTCAGCGACATACCTGCTCGTCTCCAGCAGGTGCAAGATGCGAGACGCAACCGAGCTGCTGCAATGCAGATCTTTTCGAATGCTGGGCAAGATAATTCAGAACAAATTGAGGCTGAGGCAAGGACATATGTGAAGGGTGATATTCCGAGTAAGTCAAACTCTGGCCTTGGATTACAAGATCCAACCACTCAGCCATGCTGCTACATGCAGCGTGACAACTTCAGTTCTCAGCTGACGTCTCTTATCTGTAGAAAACCAGGAACAGTTCCATGATTGGAATTTCGGATACAACGTTGTTGATGATTGTGAAAGAATATCTTTAAGCACTAAGATTTAGCGTACCTAGCGGTTTTATAGCCTACTTTCACTGAGCCCTCAATAAAATCACTATATCGTATCCTAAGATAGCTTATTTCCGCATTATATAGAGCAATGCGACACTAGATATTATTTATCGGCTACTTCAACCACCCTTTTATGCACTTGCGAGTAATATCTAGTTACTCCTACTGCACGATCTACATCACTATTAGAACGCTCGTTATAACTAGATCGGGAATTACACTTAACAAAAAGGCGGAATGATTTAGAAGCCCCAAAAAATACTAATCTTGCATAGAAGAGATAAAGAGAATTTAGCGACAACTATCGCGTGGTATACGATCAAGTAATAAGCTTAGACTGGTAAATAAATAGGTATAGGGCTGGGTTAGATAACTAAGTAACCCAGCCCTACCCCTACCTATTTACCAGTCTTATTAAGGCCCATAGACACGCCTTCTTATGAGTGTTCTTATAAGTAAGAGGTTTTGATTTTGTCTAGAGCCTGTGTCCTAGCTAGTTTGTAAAATACATATTATTCTCTTAATTGCTTTTACTAAATTCGAGCGGGACGTCTCCTAGTAGAGGAGACAAAGCTTCTACAGCGCTAAAATCTTCTTTGTAAGAACGCAACACATAACCGTTCTCTTTAGTATACCCTAGAACCTCTGCTATACTAGGATTCTTATATAAACCTAGAGTTTGCACGACTTAGGTGAGCTAAAAGCGATATCCTCATTAGATAGGGTCTTTAATACCCCGGCCCTGCTCGAGGACCCGACTTACAACTATGCGCTACCCTGCAGCAGCGAGTGGTGGGCTACGAGCACCTCGGCTTTAATGCTGCGGAGCTGCAACATCGACAACGGCTCAGGCTTCCGCTGCAAGCCAGACTGCGATACCGTCCCCTGGCTGTTCCCTGACGCCAAGCCCTGCCCAGCCAGGAACCAAGGGGTCTCACCTGCGGACACCGCTATCGGGCCGCTGTCATCCTTCGCTGTACTACGAAACCAACTTGTCAGACTTAGGACTTAGGTCTGACAGTTGCTTTGTATGTCGACTGCTTTTTAATTTTTTGTTCAATACTGCTATATATCGTGTCTCTAGACGTTTAATCACTTAACAAGAGAACAAACTCGGTTGCAGAGCAAGTATTTACATACTAGTTAATTTTCAACGGATGATATATGCTAGATGAAAATACATTTGCTTTCAAACGTTGGCTCCGAATTTCGCAGTACACAGAGTGCTCAAGTTACAGAAGCCACTGCATTGCTTAACAAGCCCTGGACCTGAAGTAGGATCATTCTAATTGTTGAAAGTTCTATCAAGGCGATAAAAAGATGGAAGCAGCTTTTTGTTATATATGGAGCTAATTATAGTGACAAGCAGCCTCCAGGTAGTTCATGCGCAAGAAACGATATCCACCCCACAGAAACTGTTTTAACTAGCGTAACAAAAAGCGCTTGTCTAGTTTATAATTGGCTTACTTCTAGTTAGCAATTAGGCAGATCAGTCTGTAGCATATATAACATCGCCTATTAGAACAATCTTTCTGCAGCCATTGACATACGACGAGGGCAAACTTTCTTTCAATCGCTAAACTCGAGCTTCTTAAACATAGAGCAGCATTCGTTGCGTGGCGGGTGAGAAGTTATGGAAATGCTTGTGAAAACATTCCACATTTTAACAACAGTCTTTTCCTTCGTATCGGAGGCTGTGTCTCGCATGGCGGCAATAGAGACTGCTGTCTAATCATTGGATCTTTTCCTGCCTTGTCCAACTAGTTTAGCAGCGATCTTGCTGTAAGACCGCGCCACAAGCTTATGCAATCCATGAATACATACTTTTCTTCGTTTGATCTTACTTTGGCCGCATGTATAATTACACCCGTTATATCTGTACTACTATCACAAACACAAATCATTCCCTGGGTGCTTCTGCGAACGCTATATTTGATACCTAGGACATGTATTGTTGGGCATTGGTCTTGAGCTTCATCTCGCGGGATGATATCTTGAGTTATAGTCATGATGAGCTCTAGTGACTAGCTCTGCCTTCATTGATTGTCTATATTCAATCTTCATAGTCACCATATGTGGGCACGTTGCAGGAAAGGAGATTACACAGTAAGTGGTAATATTACTCTGACAGAGGTGTTTCAATTCATCCGAAGTACTCCCGAGAAACACTCACTAATAGCTCCTCTGCCTCTACTACTTTGGACAATTTACTACCATCTACGTCACCTATCAGTTACACAACATCGTTATAGATCTCAAGAGCTCTCTTTACAAACCTCTGTTCAATTTATCAGCGCATGTTATTGGACAAATTAATCAGTTTAAATGTACAGTTACTCTTGCGCGCATATCTAGCTTAGCTTAATGCAGTGTGCTTTGGTGGTTAGGGGTGAATTTCGCCTCAATGAGCTTTGCGCATATTGATACGGTACCAGAAATACCTAAAGATTCGCAGAGACATGACTAAGTTCGCGACCGCTCTTGCTTACGTTTATTTATAATCAATTGGCAGGGGCGCGTTGGAACTTCTCAGGCTTTAATAATGGTTCCCCGCATTTCGCCGTGTTTCATCTCTGGAGCCCCTCTCGTCCCATCCAGCTTGGCGCTCCAAGTTAGTGACAAAGCTCACGTTGCTGGCACACGAACAAAAGTGCAGTAAACGACTAAACACGCCACAAGTCTTGGCTTTTTATAGACAGAGTAACGACTGCAACGCTAGTGTCTCAAGTGGACCTCCATCGTAGTTTTATCTCTACTATTAAAAGCTCCGCCCTCCCTTTTAGAACAATTACCCAAGACGCCGAGCTTGGCAACAGTGCATTGAATGCATAGCATAGCGGGCGGGATATGCCAACAACGACTCTCAAATGTGTCAGCCAAGAGGCTGATAAAGTGCTCTAAAAAACGAGGTATTCGTGATGATTAATGACATAGTCTGAGAGGTCATAGTAGGTATATATACTGCGTTTTTTTCAAAATCCTATCAATATCCCCAGGCACACTTCCCCAAGTAACGGTTTTGTTCAACAATATTCTTTCTCAACACAGGTTGATTTTTATATTCAGCTTCAGCAAACTTTCCGCTTTCATTGGTCTTTTTTTACTATCATTTCATCATGCTATTCCGCGCACCTGCTCTTCTTCTCACTACCAGTTCCCTTATCGCGGGAGGTTATGGCTCGCGCCTGCAGCCTTCTCTGGTCGAAAAACGTCAAACATGCCCAACATGTCCGCTTGGTGGCAATCCTATCGCGAAACTCGTGAAGTTTTTTATCACTGGAGGAGATCAGCAAAGCACCGTTGATTGCAGGTATACAAGTACATCCAAGGACTGCTATACATTAACTAATGGCCTATTGTCTCATAGAATGGAATCTGTATTTGGTCTTCCGTCTGACCTCGGAGGAGAAGGATCTGGACAATTTGAAGCCGCAGTCCGTGTCAATTTTGACGAAGACCAGCTTGCCTGCTCTGTGGAAGGCGTTTCCCTCCCGATCGGCAATGAAGTTGAAGACACTATATGCGTTGCTGGAGGGTGCTCCGTCTCGGAAGTCACAGATCAGAGTGCCCTCGTCACTTGGGGGGCGTGTATTGTCCGGCCTGATACCCCTGTTGCCGAGAACCAAGCTCTTACGGATGCCGAGTGTATCCCTGCCCAGGGTGCAATACGGTTTGCGAGATTCCATGATACCGGAGACTGCAGCGGTACTGAAACCGTGACGGAATTAACTGTTGGTGGACGCAGCACCACTGAGTTTTCCCCTAACGATGGTGGCGGTATCTTCCATGGTGGCGTCGTCACCAGATGTAGCACTGTCGGCGCTGCTTAATATCAATCACGGCGATCTTAGCTATTGTGATGTTAGAGCGCAGTGTGGAAATAGTGCGACACATGTTATAGAACTATGTCTAGCTTTGGGTCTTCTAAGATGTGTTTGTTTAAGAAAAAATCCAAGATTTGTTAAAATTAGCAGTCATCCTCAGCTCAATTCACTGACGTCGTAATGCCCACCTCATCATGCTTTCAAATAGAATTAAGATGTACGTGGTACTACAGGTAACAAGAGTTTTCTTCTTAAAGCTAGGCAAGAAGACAGGTGTTTCAAGTAACAAGAAGGATTCTCTCCTTGACGAGTGACAAGAAGGCTAAAGGCGTGAGAGCGTCCACGTTAGAATGTAGTAATTGTTGCAGGGCTTTAACCACGTGATTAGCATCACGCTGCGACCATAGTAGCAGTAACACCACCTAAGAGGTGTGAGGATTTGGCCATGTAGTAGTGTTGCTAAGAAATCTTAACTCTAACAATCAAGAGACGGGTTTCTCGGCGGAAGCCTCCCCGGAAACAAGCCCGTGCGCCCAGTCGCCAGTTTTTAGCAAATAGGAGAATTTTCTTGTGGTCTCGTTGGGTGTCCTTGTTGAAGTGTGCCTCATGTCCAATTTGATATCCTCTGAGATCCTTTACTCATCTTCCTAAGAGGAAGTATCCACAAACCGGAATCCACCGTTCAATAGGATTTTATCAAGAGAGAAACCTTAACCTCTACTACCGTTCGACTCCTTAGTGCAGGTTCTCATTAATTTTAAATATCGAAAGATGGATAGGAGAACATCATAATGCCATGCCAACTGAAAGATAAGGAACTGATGGTAGCTGGGGAGACTTAGCGGGTACGTATGTCACTCTCCACAGAGCAAGTTATAAAAGCACTTTGGCAGCCAGTGCTACAGTGTGCGGTAGAGCTGCCGCAGTAGCCAGAGCTGCTGCAATAGTTCCCAAAGACGCTGCCAGCGTACTTGTAGCCCTTTAAGCCTCTGCAGGCTCGGTCTAAGAGATGTCGGAGACTGTGCAGGTACCAAAGCTAGATTGGCAGCCTGCGCTGGAGTGCGCTGTACTGCTGCCGCAGTACTCTGAGTCACAGCAGCAATCGCCAAAGCCGCTGCCCTTGCACTTGCAGCCAATTCTTCCACCACAGGTTCCCTCTGGAGATGTGTTTTCATTGTCATTGCAAGTACCAAACACCTGTTGATAACCAGCTTTGCAATGCCCGTCGGAATTACCACAGTAGTTTCAGCTGCTGCAGCAGTCTCTATACACGAATCCAGTACACATAGATGCGTCTTTTTCTCTGCACGTACCTTCTATCGCTACATCAGTGATTTTGTTCTTCCAATTAATGCCCAGTTGACTTACTTGGGCTAACATTGCCTGGCTTGGGAGAGGTAGGAACCATGGCCGTATTACATGAGCCATAGAGTGGGTTACAACTAGTACCGCACTCCGAACCCGTCCTACTGGCCCCACTGTCCAAACAACACTTTCCATGCACTATGTCACGAACCTGATAGTCGTTGCAGTGTCCATACCGTCCATTGGTTGTGGTACCATTGGTCTAGTTTGGTGGCGGCTGTCGGGGACTTGGTGTAGGCATGCTCATTCTGCAGTTATCATAGTACAAGTAATTGGCTGTTCCGCAAAACCTAGAGCCACTTCCGCACCGGTTCTATTTATCACATCAGCTGCCCCACGTCCCTCACAGAGCTTTCCGCCGGTCAAAGGACTGCAATGATCGTCGAGCGAATAGTCGCCTGGATTATTGACGACACAAAGACCTGAGGCGCATGTACCGGCTTGATAATCATCGCTTTTTGACATTGAATCAGCCATTCATTATTGATCTAGGGTTATGTGACACAACTCAATTGATATCGCTTCCGTGTCTTTGAGTGGCAGTACTACCCGCCAGAATACCCCAAGCATGTTACGAAGGACTTGGGCTTGCAAGATTCGTCGGCCATTTTGGTACAATGTTCCCCGCAACCCAATGTTCTTCGCTTGCTTGGATGCTTAAGCAGTGAGGATCAAGCAGAGGGTTCAATAGGAAAAAATGATCGACTGTGAGACAATACCTCTCTGCGAGTTCCGTGCATGTGTATTGGCCCATATTCGACTGTGCCGTAGCGTTGGAACGGCATAGAGCTTGCGCAGAGGCTTGGAGAGCGGTCAAGCTAATAATAAGTAAGCAGGTCAAAATGAAGAGCATCTTAGTAAATGAAGGCTATGAATAAGGGAGAACCCCAGGGTCAGTAACTTAAATTTAATAGAAATCCTTTTCATCACATATGTATGTGCTACATAGTGCGCGTGGAGCAGGTTGCTGTATTAGTTCTCGACAGTGTGCTGCTTCGACCGAGCAATTTCTACAAGTTCAGGCCAGCCTTCTTAGAAAACCCACCTGCCTTCCTAATTAAGTCCTGCTCAAACTCTTGGCCACTAGTAAATATGTCGGAATCAAGATAGACCATGAAAAATGCGTCTGGATCCCCTGCATCTTTGCGCTGTGGCCCAGAAGCTCCAGAGCAGTAGAGACACGCATATCTGGATCGCCCCTATTTTTGGTTTCGAAGATAGTCTCGCGCAGCTCCAAAGTGTAGCGGTGCAATTCGTTGACGAACTACGCAAATGTGATGCGCTGTCCTCACGCATTTTCAATCGCCAAGGGTGCGGGCCGTTCGTCTAGTGCATCTACACGAAACCAATCATCTGCGCGATACACGACATTAAAAGCGACGAGCATGTGGGAACGGGGCGGCTGGGGGATAGGTTCTTCAGCGAGCGCATAGTTTGGAGCACCGAGCAGAGGCCGCCACTGGGGCCTTCCCGTGTTGTCCAATTCGACAATCTGCGCTGTGGGTGTATCCAGGACTGACCACCGAAGCCGATTTGTTAATTCCTCAGCAAACAGACCCTCATCGCTTTCCGGGATACGGTTGTCTGGAGATTGTTGATAGTCCAGCGGCAGAGTAAGGAACTCCAATAGGCTCTCGTTGGAGCTAATTCTGGGCACATTTAGTTCCGAGCCACGAGAATAGTGTGCGAGAAAAAGGTTGATGAATTTGTGAGAACCTATCGAGAAAACTTATAGTAAACGGTGTCAGAACGGGAAATCAGCTATTACTACCTAACCTTTTTTTCTAGGTGTTAGCTATATAACATATCAAACCCTTTATCCTAGAAATAAATAGCAGGGAACACCCTAATCTGCCGTAATCAGGTATTGAAAGCATAGACTTTGTAGTTCAAGTGAGAAACATGTTAGTGATGTTACTCAATCTCTCAACGGGTATATGCCTATCAGACACATCTCTATCAGGTAGGACAACTGAAATACGGTTTCGACGAAGGCGGCAGAATAGCGAACTACGGTTGCGATTGGACAGCAGCATAACGAATCATGGTTGCAATACATGAGACATTATATGGATCTAAAGATATACTCTTACAACAATGACGTGCACAGAAAACTGTCAAGATATGAGCAGGCGCGCTTTTTGTTTCTCATATCCTATAAAGCTTCTAATAGAAACATAAGTACTTCAACCGTATTGAGCATGTCATCGCATGTCTCTGATTCTTCTATGATAAAATTGAAAACGCCTCCCCACATACATCAATAGCCATCATGAACACTGAAAGTTGCAAGCTCGAAATATCTCGCTCAGTTCCAGTTCCTATTTCTCCTCTTCTTCCAAAATGTGCCATCGTCCGCACCGCTGCTGTCGCGCTGACCGCATCGACAGAAGTTTGCTAGCATTCAGTCCCGCCCCAACTGTATCGCCGGGTATAATTTGACGGGTACCGTCTTCACGCTTGACGATACGACCCTGGTATAAGGTAGATTATTAATCGACGACCCATGATGGGGGTGGTGCATGGTATGAACCGTATATATTCTAGAGATTACGCATTCGCCACCTATGTGTTCACAAGTATGAATATACATAGTATTGAGTGTTCCTAATGGAATGACTTGTGGAGAGACAGCCACTTTAGCAATGGGTGTTTCAAGCGCAGACTTGACACTTTTCGCAGAACTAGATATACCTGCGTCGCTTGTGACATTAGGGGACAGAGATCAAAGGAGCAAACGCATGTTGGAAGGATAAGAAAAAACACTTTGTGCTCATTGAGAGTGCGCTTATAGCGGCAGGAACAAGGACAACTCCACCGTTGAACCTGTAAACTAGTTTTACCTAGTTGTGAAATTGTTTTATCGAAGTTGGCCACCGACAACTGAATAACCTTCAGCGCAGGCTTCTGAACCATAGAGACTTTTTTCCCGAAGCAATTTCCGCTTGTAAAGCGCTTTGGAGCGTCTACAACCTTTAACTATCATCATGCGTTCACCACTGCATCCGCCATCCGTGCGTACGCGGCCAACAAGCTTGCCTAAGCATTTAACTTTCCTACTATTCCCATAGCGATACAACTCTGCTATGATGCTCTAGGTCGCACTGGAGGCAGACGCTATTCTTTTAGATCGTTCCGTACTGCTGTCACATCTAAGCGCAGCCTTACTGTTGTACCTTCATGGCTCGTTGCCCTGACTATCTTTAGAGTACCTGTCGTACTACATAGCGAAACACTAGAAAAGAAAAACAAACGCGTCGCAGGGTTTCTGCAGCAGAACTTAGGTTTTTGAGAAACGTAGATGGAATTGCGTGATAGGAATATCCGATGTGATCGAGCCCGCCCAATCATGGACGTTTCATGTGGAGGCAAATTCAACTGACCCTAATGCAATCCAAGCTAGCGAGTAATACCCTTATAGGACAGCTCATTGCTTGTTACTCATGCCTGATCTGGGGTACCTTTAGACGTGTGTAGTGCAATTTTAAATCGTCAGACAATCTGTTACGTATTACGTACAATCAGTAAGTTTAGAATGGACTACAAGTCCAACAAAATTCCTTATATGAACATCGTTAAGCAGATTATAACTCGGGTATAGGATTCCCATAGAAAGAAAGCTGATAGTCCCAAAGAGGAAGGCCATGTCATGTGATGTGCAGTGGCTCAGTACAACGATATCAGCCTTAATCACCACCTTTAACACTTACAATGAGCCGTAAATTCAAGAGCAGGTGACTGTGAACAAATTTCGATGCTTTCTATCAAATCGGCATGGATTTCGAAACTGTCACTTTCCAAACTAACAATTAACTGAGGGAATAATAAATATCGTTGTGTCGAAGTCTGGATGTTTTTGCGACAACTATACCTGGCTAAGTATCTAGGATTATGCGTTTGATGAGACTGGGCTTCATTAAGAGGTCAGGCTAGTCAAGGTGGCCCATTCACATGCACATCGATTGCGAATGGTCCAATGCGGTCATGAAACAGACCGGCATAGTTGCCGTGAGACTGATGAGCGGTTTTGCTCTTTCGCATTAACCGCTGAGCATCCTTCATACATCCAATTCAGCCAGCGCTAACTTTCGAATTGGTTAACAGACCCTGAATTACTGTCATTCAGATAAGACGTACTTTGGAAATAGTAGCATGATATGTTTCGGGTGAGTCAGCGGGCTCCACTTAGTTGTTTGTACTAAAGGTCACTTGGGAAGGTTGTCGGCGTCACTCTGGCGACCGAAGAGGGTCCGCAACAAGAAAGATAACAATGATCACGTAGTGGAAAAGATGAAGAGAAATACGGAAGTGAAGCGAGAAAGATGACTGAAGGATTCACAGCATGGGTGGTTTACGTAAGTGAAACGGCATGGCGCCGTGCTTGATACAGCATGGAAAATGCTTAATTCATAAGGAACACCAGGTATCTATCATCGAACTGCAACATTCCAATAGTGTCATCAACACAGTACAATGGACAGCACCTCGCCCCGACTAAGCAGCCTACCTCCCTCCTCGGATATCACCAAGAGAGTAGCTTGTATCCGGTGTCGTACACAGAAACTCAAATGTATTAAATCGACACGTGCAGCGGACTCAAGCAAATGTGACCGGTGCAGGAAGGCGGACGTGGCGTGTACCTACGTTCCATCCAAACCGATGGGTCGGCCAAAGACATCACGATCTCGACAAGCAAACCGAACCATGCATTGCTCAGCCTCACAACCAAACGAGCAACTCGACGAAGCGACTCACCCCGACACAATGACGGAAGACACCGACAAAGCACTTGACATGCAAAGCATGACCATGTTCTTTGAAGGCATAACGCCGTACGACACAAGTAATGCTTCCACAAAGAATGACTTTGCATTCTCAGCGCTTGAGATGGAATTCCTGACGCCGTGCTCGAGTCAAGGCGGTGGAGCTATGTTTAGTAGCTCCGATACGTACGCAACCAACATCATGCTCGAAGACGAAGATGCAATCGACTTTGCACGGCCAGCAAGTAGTGCATGTGACAGCGAGCAAGGCCCACAAAGCAGCATGCAGCGCCTGGCCAAGATTGGTCTGGACCTCCACGAGCAAACGACAAAGTACCAAAAAGTCGGCGACAACATTGTCATGCAGGACCTCGTCAGCGACGTCCTGCGCAGCTCCACTGAGTACCTGAATTGCTTGCTCACACTAGATGAGACCTTTATATCCAATCAAAGCAGCAGATTTGGCAACGCGTGGACAGACGACGGGCAGTCAAGCCTACAACTGGACATGTCAGCCGTATTTCAATTGCTGATCCCTTACGTGAGGTTAGTTCAGCTGCACAATACACTATACCGGACAATGCTCCGCTATTTAGGTAGTAGTGGCAGTGGGGGAGGCAACGGCAACGGTAACAACGGTAACGGCCCATCGGGTGCGCCGGTGCCGCAGTCGAATTTTCCGCTCTTCACCGTCGATGGTACTTGCGTCAACGCTAGCGAAACTTTTCGCGCACGACTCTTGTTGCACATGAACGTAGATCTGTTGGCGGAGATTGAGATGGCTTTGGATTTGCCGCACGAGGCGCGGATATGCAATCCGCAGGTAGAAGGTGGAATGGGTAGTATGAATAGCCCCATGAGCTTTCCGCTCAACGGGCAGGGCACGTGCGGCCTCTTGCGCAAGGCTATCTCGCCGAGACTACTCGGTACGATCCTTGAAGAACGAAACCTAGGGGTTGATGGCGTACAATCCATGCGAGACACCATTGCTTGCATTAAGTGCTTACTTCGATCTACCCGCCACCGACCACAATATACTAGTCTTTGAAATGAGATACTACACTTTATCGGACCGCCTCGAGAACATGTACGGGTGTGTGTACTTACTGAGGCCATCGGCCCTTTTCTCCCCTTCCATATTGTTTTTTTGACTTTACAGTCGTGAGGCTTTTACATAAGCAGTTACGTATAGACCCACACATTACGAGTTCGGCCACTTTCTGCCTCAGAGATAGGGTATACTGAGGTGGTAGGCCAATACTTTGTCTGTCAACCACTAGTAAGGGGGGCGGCATAAGCTGAGGTAGTGACTGAGATCTACACGCATACCGTATTTTGTATGTATACAACTCCAATAATAGCCTAATGCTTACTATATCTGATAGATCCGGCGTAGACTCACCCGAAGATGAGACTGATATCCATTCTTAGCGTCTCCACGTACTACATGCCGGCAACCACAGATGCACTTATGTGTACACATAATGTTAAGCTTTCGGACAGCGCACCTGTTTATCCACGCCATTTCCAAAAGGTCCGAAACTAGGAGGTCACGGGCCATATCTATGCACATCACAAATACAACAAGCTCAACCAAGATATGCTCGCTCCAATGACCAATCTTGGCAAATTGTACTCAAATCGTTTTTTCAATCAGCCTAACGCGAAGCGGTTTAGGCTCAAACACGAGATAAGCCTTTTGATCCAGCCAGTCGTCTACCCGGCTGCCTGGCTCCAGGCTAAGCTCGAAATTCCAAAACGTACGCGCTATGAGGATTCGCGCTTCGGCGAGGAAGACCCTGCATGCCGTTAGAGACCACAGTGGGCGATAGCTTAGTAAGAAGACACATTGCCAAGGTTAACATACCTCCCGCCTATACAATTGCGAGTGCCAATGGAGAAGGGTTTGAATGCCTCCATGTCATCCTTGCCGAAACGAGCGTCATGTAAAGGATGGGTGGGGGGCAGAAACCTCTCAGGGTGAAATGCCAACGGTTCGGTCCAGTTTTGAGGCGACGTCTGTGTTGTGTGCATAGCGATGCCCATCACAGTCTATAGTAATAGCCAGGTGTTAGTTGGCGTGATAATAGCTCTGCAAAGGATAGCAGATTGGCAAAACAAGGGTACGTGGACTAGCGGCCTATGGACTTACGTTACCTGGGATCCACTCATTGTCTACGTGTAATCCTTCCGAGGGAATCAGTCGGGGCAGGTGTATCGGGGTGGGGTGATGTATGCGCAACGTTTCATCGATAACTGCCCCTAGATAGGGCAGTTTGGCTGTCGTTACGACGTTGATGTCAGACTCATGTTGGAATGATGATCGAATTTCAGCAAGGAGACGCTTCAGTTGAACGGGGTGAGTCAGGAGCAGATATGTAGCCGTGGTCAATGCAACTGTAGGCAATTGAGAGCCAGCGATCGTGATGGCGAGTGAGTGCGTATTCAGTTCGTTGCGAGTAATGCCCTTTTCTTTAGTTTCATTGATGTTGCCGATGACTGGTGATACGAAATCAGAGCGCGAGGATCCAAGATCACCCATCTCCAGACGCTTTGTGACCAAGTCGGCCGTATACTTCCAGTTGCGCTTCCGTATTTTAGCCGTGAGTTGCAAAAATAGGTATCCAAATATTCTGTCCAACGGGTAAAAGTAACTCAGGTGGTTGCGCACTGCGCCAAACTTTGCGCCGAGGAAAAAGCCCATGATCCAACTGTGCTCATTGTCACCCTCAAGCCCGTGAAAACTCTCGCCATACGCCAGGTCTGAGACAATGTCCAGAGCTGCATAACCATAGTACTTTGCGAGGTCAATGACACCATCGGCACTTTTGGCTGCCTCGCGCCGTAGCCGCTGGACGAACAGATTTGTATGAGACTCGATTATAGGTGACTGGGCACGCAAAGCTCGGTCATTGAATGCATTCAGGAGTGTCCTTCGCATACGTTGGTGCGTGCTTCCGTCAGCTGTAAACAGCGAGTCGGCGCCGTTCAGGGGCGGCGTTTGCGGGTGTGGGTCTTTTGGTAACTGCGGTCGTTGGAGATACAAATCCTTCCAAGCACCGGACGAGATGGTTGTCAACTCATTGGGGCCCACCCGAACGACCTTTCCATAACGCCCATGTAGACTATCCATCCATTTGTATTGTTGGCCACGAACAGCTGAGATTGCAAATGGGAGACGAGAGAAGGCCGCAGATTTGGGCCCTGGAAACTTGGATAGAGGATGAAAGTAGATGCAATAGATGGCGCTTGTGATGTAGTACTGAACGGCAGGGTGAGCTATGCATACTTGCACTGGACTTTGCACATGTGAAGGGGACTTACTACCACCGCCAATATTGCAATTGTTGTCAGTGTCTGGCCTAACGGCGGCAACCAAGGCAACACCTGGTTTGTGAATACATCCATGGCGTTATCGACTGAGTATTCTGTAATGCCCTAACCTTCCTCGTTATTTTCCATCATTGTATTTATCAATGGAGCATTTGCTGTTTCAGCAGTGGATGCAGGGCGAGTATGTACCCGATGCAATATGTTACCGACTGTTGCTCGACCGAATATGTCGACTCGGGGTTGGGGAGACGGCAGTGCATCGGCATGTAGCCCCAATCTTATCAGAATCCGGCCGACAGCAGAAGACGAAGACCAGGCATGCGATTCTCAGTCTCTTATGGCGATTTGTTTAGGCCGGTAGTTGCTTATCACCCCTGCATCCTCTTTCCGGCCGGACCTTTCGACGACATGATATCGTGAGCGCCGAACACTCCGAAAAGATGTATGAAAGATAACCCCAGTGAGCATCAGTTCTCTGAACAGACAACACCTTATCCTCAACATTCCTTGCGGTACATTCAACATCCGCCACGTTTTTGCTACATCATGGCACCATCAAAACCCACTCAGGCGGCATCGGTCGCCATATTCTGCCCGCAAAGCAAAGCACCAGACGCAGCATACCTTGACCAACTTCGCACATTTTTGACACAACAACCTCAACTACGCAAGCTAGCGGACGATGTCCAGCGACTTGGCGAAACATGGGATATTCTTGCAGCACGCAGGCCCGACATTGCTGCGCTGCACCAAGGGCCAAAGTATCTACGAGCTCTACACGAATGGGTAGAATCAGGTGTGTCAGGGCCTGTAGCGGGTGCCATGTCTGGGATTCTTTCGCTGCCATTGTTGGTAGTTATTCAGACATGTCAGTATTTCCAGTACCTGCGGTTGACAGGGTTGGCGCATGCCGAATTCCTTCGAGGCCTAGAGACCGGAGGTGCACAGGGATATTGCGGTGGACTTTTACCTGCCATGGCTATTGCATGTGCCAAGGATGAGGACGAGGTAGTGCGCATGGCAGGGATTGCAATGCGTATCGCTCTTGCAGTGGGTGCGTATGGAGAGTTAGGAGACGATGAAAACTTACCTGGCCCAACGACGATTGTGCTTCGTCTCCGACACGAGGGTCAGGGTGATGACATAGCGAGAAAGTTCCCGGGGGTGAGTACTGCTCGGTGCATGAACTGTTGTACTTGGCTGACATGACTTAAGTCGTATGTTTCTGCCGTCACGGATCCGAAGACCATTAGCATCGTGGGCCCAGTACCCACGCTTGAGAAGGTTACCGCATATGCACGAGAATTGGGCTTGCAAGCTCAGGGAATGCATCTCAGGGGCAAGGTACACAATCCTGAGAATGCTGAGCTGGCACGGGAGCTGTGTGAGTTGTGCGACGAGATGGAAAACCTCAGACTGCCGCCGAGTGCAGAGCTGCAGGTTCCAATATATTCCAACATCACGGGACGGCGGCTTCAAGATTGCTCGCTCACACATGAAGCTGTTCTTACTATTCTGGCCTCACGATGTGAATGGTGGACACTGCTCGGTGAACTTGCATGCGCACTCCAGTCAACAGGCATCCAGTCACACACTTTTGCCATGTTTGGAATCGGTGACTGTGTGCCACTGATGCCTTTCCACCAGGCGAGACTCAAGGTGTCCAAAATCGACATCCATCGTACTATTCGAGAAGCAGAGCTCAGTGAGTACACATATCCAGAAGATGCCATTGCCATTGTGGGTGCTGCTTGTCGGCTTCCTGGTGCCAATAACATGGAAGAGCTCTGGGATCTTTTGGCGGGTGGTGTTTCCAAGGCAGAAGAAATTCGACCTGATCGCATACCGCTGCATGCAAGCTTCAGAGCTTCGCAAGATCAAAAGGTACGTTTCATGCCTACGAGAGGTGTGTAATTGAGGAAAAGACGATGGCGTACTGATGCAGGTAAACAGTTCACAAGCAAGCGCAAGTTCTTTGGAAACTTTGTCGATGAGGTTGATGGCTTCGACCACACATTTTTCCGCACCAATCCAAAGGAGGCTACTTACATGGATCCGCAGCAGCGCATCTTGCTAGAGTTGGCATACCAGGCCATGGATTCTAGCGGATACCTCAGGTCGCACAAGCGTGAGAACGGGGACAACATAGGTTGTTTCATCGGCGCGTCTTTCAACGAATACCTCGACAACACTTCAGCGCATGCCCCGACCGCTTACACATCGACGGGCACGATACGGGCCTTTTTGTGTGGCAAGATCAGTTACTATTTTGGATGGAGCGGGCCGGCCGAAGTGATTGATACTGCATGCTCGGCTTCGCTTGTGGCGATCAACCGTGCATGCCGGGCTATTCTAAGTGGAGAATGTGCACAGGCGTTGGCAGGAGGCATCAACATCATGTCTGGTATCAACAACTTTATGGATTTGGGCAAAGCTGGCTTCCTGAGCCCGACAGGACAGTGTAAGCCGTTTGACAAGAATGCCGATGGCTACTGTCGTGCCGATGGCGGAGGCCTTGTGGTTCTCAAGCTATTGCGGCATGCACGAGCTGATGGGGATAACATTCTCGGTGTTATTCCTGGTATCGCGACAAACCAGGGTGGACTCTCTGCTTCAATCACGGTGCCCCATTCGCCGGCGCAAATGACACTCTACCGGCGCATTCTCAAGCAAGCAGCGATGAAGCCAGAGCAGGTCTCGTACGTGGAATGCCATGGTACAGGCACGCAGGCGGGTGACCCGCTCGAGATAGCATCAGTGCGCGAGGTGTTTTGTGGAGGGGACCGGCAAGGCAATCTGCACGTGGGTTCTCTCAAAGGCAATATTGGCCATTGTGAGACAGCGGCAGGGGTAGCGTCACTGCTCAAGGTGCTCGCTATGTTGCAGAAGCAACGGATTCCGCCGCTTGCCAGCTTCAAGTCTCTCAATCCCAAGATTCCTGCCTTGGCACCCGACAAGATGGCCGTTGCCAAGCAGGTGGAAGCATGGGACGCGCCTCTACGTGCTGCATGTGTCAACAGCTATGGGGCTGCTGGAAGTAACTCGGCGCTGCTGTGCGTGGAAATGAAGCACAAGGGCGGTGGAGCAGCTGGAGAAGGAGTGGCAGCAGCCCGTGCGACTGCATGGCCCATTGTCGTCAGTGCAGCCAGCAAAGAGTCTTTGACGCGATACTGCCATGCACTGGACACATATCTAGCCAAGAAGACGGACGTGGCGCTCGGTGACTTGAGCTTCACGCTGGCGGAGCGGAAGCAGCGTCATCGGTTCCAGCTGGTGACGACAGCGTCCGACGTGAGCAGTCTTCGAGGCGTGTTGGCGAGCGGCCAAGTCGAAGCAAGCATGGTTGACGTGGCCCAGGCTGCACGCCCTGTGGTTCTGGCATTTGGCGGACAGAGCAAGCAGGTCGTGGGGCTGGACAGAGGCGTGTATGAGAGCAGCCGCAGACTGCAGGCGTATGTCGACGAATGCAACGCCGTGCTCGTTGACATGGGATACCCGAGCATCGTGCCGGCAATCTTCTCGTCGGAACCGGTCGACGACGTGGTAGTGCTGCAAACGGGGACATTTGCGGTGCAGTATGCGTGCGCCAAATGCTGGACGGACGCGGGAGTGCGGGTCGAGGCGGTCGTTGGACACAGCTTCGGAGAGCTCACGGCGCTGGCCTTTTCGGGCGCGCTCAGTCTTCGGAGCGGACTCAAGCTTGTGGCCGCGCGGGCTCAGCTCATGGCGGCCAGATGGGGGCCAGAGCGCGGGACGATGCTGGCCATCCACGCGACGCGCGACGTCGTCGAGCAGCTCATCTCCAGGGCGGGCGGCGGCGGCGAGCTCGAGGTTGCGTGCTACAACGCCGTGGCCAGCCAGGTGGTGGTGGGCTCGGCGGCGGCGGTGGCGCGTGCTGAGGCGGTGCTCGCGGGCGAGGCGCAGTTTGCCAGTGTTCGCAGCCAGCGCGTCGACGTGACGCATGGCTTCCACTCCAAGTTCACCGACCCGCTGCTCGACGAGCTGGCGACGGTGGCGGCGTCGCTGGCCTTTGGCGAGCCGCGCATCGCCGTCGACATGTGCGTGCCCGACGCGTGTGCGCACCAGAGCCCGGGGCCGCTGCGCATTGCCCAGCACACCCGCCAGCCCGTCTACTTTGTCGACGCCGTCCGCCGCATCGAAGCACGCCTGGGCCCGCGTTGCCTGTGGCTCGAGGCCGGCGCAGACTCGCCCATCATGCCCATGGTCAAGCGTGCCGTCGCCCAGCCGGCCCAGCACGTCTTTGTTGGCCTGCGCTTTGCGGGTGCGCACCACTCGGCCGCTGTTCTGGCAGACGCGACGGCTGCTCTGTGGCGCGAGGGAGTCGACGTCTCCTTCTGGCCGCACCTGGGCGGGCCGGCTGAGTCAGGGCTGAGTCACGTCTATCTCCCTCCCTACCAGTTTGTTCGCACCTCCCACTGGCTCCCCAATCTCGACCGTGCTGCTCAAGCCTGCGCCCACCACGACGCCCCCGCGAAACCCCCAGTCCAGCCAGAGAAGCCCCAGACGCTGCTCGTCGCTCCCCAGCAGCCCGGCTCGCTGACCTTCACCGTCAATATTGCCTCGAAGCGCTTTCGTGACATCGTCAGCGGCCATGCAGTCCGTGCTCGTCCCCTCTGTCCGGCCTCCATGTACATGGAGTGCGCCGTCATGGCCCTGCAATGCCACCTGGGCTCTCGCTTCAACAAGGCCTGCGCCCTTTCCTTTGAGAAGCTGAGTTTTGAACATGCCCTGGGCGTTGACCTAAATCGCCACGTGTCTGTCGTGCTCAGTGAAGCCGGTGAGCCAGGCCTGTGGAGCTTCCAACTGCGCAGCGCCCCCAAGTCGTCCACCACGCCCCGATTCTCTACACACGGCCGTGGTAAAGTCCGCCTCGGCAGCCCTCCAGCCCTGCACACATACAAACACCTGGTCGCTGAGCGCATCCAACATGTCTCCAACAAGCCCGGAACAGAAACCCTCCTGTCCAAGCGCGCGTATGGCTTGTTCTCACAGGTCGTCACCTACGCGCCCCTGATGCGCGGTATCCAGTCCATTACCATGGACGGCACTCGGGCTGTGGCCGCCATCAAAGTCCCTTCCCCTCCAGTGGCTCCTGATGAAAGCTCGGCCATTGGACTTTGTGACACCGTCTCCATAGACACCTTCATCCAGGTTGTCGGTCTCCTCATCAACAGCAGTGACGCTTGTATCCCTGATCATGTCTTTGTTGCCACTGGCCTCGACAGTGCTACCCTGTCCCAGGCCTGTGACTTTACTGCCGCTGACTCATGGACCGTATATGCTGTCTTTAGGTCCACTAGCGACACAACAGCCACGGGCGACGTCTTTGTCATGACCTCTGACGGCACTGTAGCCTTGACTGTCATGGACGTCGCCTTCACCCGGCTGCCCATAGCAACCCTCGAGAAGCTGTTGGACACGGCAAACTCTGCCCCTGCTCCCCGTAAGGATCCTGCTCCCCGTACGGACTCTGCTCCCCCAAAGCATGCTACGACGGCAGTTCCAAGTCGACATGCCGTGCCTGACTTGCTTCCGGCAGACGCCTCTCCCGCACACGGTTATTCTGAGAGCGAAGGCAGTGTCCCCACTCCACCCAGTGAGCAAGACGACAGTAGTCTGCGCAAAATGATTGCCATGTATACCGGTGTATCGGTAGATTCTATTGCTGCACAAGCCACCATGGCAGATTTGGGCGTTGATTCTCTTGCCGCTGTCGAATTCGCCGAAGACCTGCGCTCGCAATTTGGCAAGGACATTGAGTCGACCGACCTCCTTGCCAGCACTCTCAACGCCTTGTCACAGCTTGTCCTAACTTCAGTCTCAAAACCGCAGCCAAAGACCAAATCGGTCAAAGCTCATGTTGTCCAAATGGATCCTCTTCCACAAGTCCGCGCGGCTGCAAGCAGTGCTGGTCGGCAGCGCCTCCTGAAAATCGTTTCGGACGCTTGTGGCGCTCCACCTTCGGATATCAACGATTCGCATACTCTTCGCGATCTGGGTGTTGACTCCCTGGCCTCGGTAGAGCTGACCAGTGACCTTGAAAATGCCTTTTCTATTCAAATTGACGAGAGTGATTTGCATCTCGACTCTACTGTGGCAGATATCGTCGAATATCTCGGAATCGGCAATGAAAGTGAACAAAGCGCGGCGCCGACGCCAATCTCTACTTCCCCGCAACCTGCCAATGCTTGCTCAACGATTCCAGCGGCAGCCCCTCAAAGTGAATCCAATGCCATCCGCCAGCGCGTGATTCAGATCATATCCGATGCATGCGGAGCACCAGCTGAAGACATAGGCGAAGACGCTTTGCTCCGCGACTTGGGTGTCGACTCATTGGCAGCGATGGAGCTGAAGAGTGAGCTTGAGGACGAGTTCAACGTTGAGCTGGACGACGACCTCTTGGACTTGTCCGTCTCAGAAACTATCAAAAGCTGCGGAGGCGCTCTCACAGAGTCGGTCAATGTCCCAACCACATCCAGTAGCACAACTGCCAGCCGACCTCCGACATCCAAACCAGCCACCCCCAATCCCCCAAAGGTACCCGCTGATATGCCGAGTCCCTTTGACTCTCTTGTCGTTAATGAGAGGGACTATGCTGCCAAGGCTAGTAAATGCGGATTTCTAGACTTTGATGCTAAAGTGTCTTCCCGGCAGGACGAGCTAATGCTATCTTACATTGTCGAGGCCTTTGTAGAGCTCGGCGTCGACTTGCGCAAATTGAAACACGGCGCTCCATTGCCACCACTTGCTTATAGAAGCAAGCATGCTTATGATCGACTGATGCAGAGAATATGGGTCATATTGGACAAACACGGATTGGTCACCACAGTCGGCACATCACAACACGTACGAGGAGCCGCCAAATGTCCGCAAAGCCCTTCAAAAGAGCTCCTTGGGAGAATGCGGCAAGATTTTCCAGCTTACAATTGCGAGTTCTCATTAATGAACTTGACTGGATCTCAACTCGGGCAGTGCTTCGCCGGAAAGCAAGATCCGATCGCTCTCATGTTTAAAACACATGATGCGCAATCCATTATGGAGGACTTTTACCTCAACTCCCCAATGCTTGCCACTGCTACAGAGATGCTCGTGGACACCATCGTCGATACTGTTTCCAAGTCCAAAATCAACAACCCGGTCAATATTTTGGAGATTGGCGCTGGCTGTACGTATATATATGAACCTAATTCAAAAAGGGTGGTGACGTTTTGCTAACAAAGGGTTTTAGTCGGAGGGACGACAAGAAAGCTTGTACAAAGTCTGAATAGATTGGGTCGGCCTGTCAAGTATACGTTCACTGACATATCTCCCACGCTTGTTGGACGGGCGCTCAAGGTGTTTTCCGACCAATATCCATGGCTACAATTCCAAACTTGGAACATGGAACAAACGCCTTCCAGCACCCTCTGCGCAACAGGACCTTTCGACATTATCATTGGCACAAATTGTGTGCATGCTACTCAGGATCGCACGTCGACACTCAATCGCCTGAAGCAGTTGCTCCACCCCACGGGCTTTGTCGTTCTTTCAGAGGTCACAGAGATCGTTGATTGGTATGATATCACCTATGGCCTCCTAGACAGCTGGTGGTCCGACAAGGATGGGTGCTACCCACTTCAGTGTGCAGAAACTTGGATGAGATGTTTCAAGGATGCTGGATTTGCTGTTGCATCTCACTCGCAGGGTCCGAGTGCGGATCTGAACATACAAAAACTGCTCATTGCGAGCATGAGAAACGACATAGAAGCACCAAAGCGTGCACCTCTACGACCAAAGTTGGAAACAGTTGTCTACAAAACGATTGATGGTGTGGACATCCACGCCGATGTTTTCTTTCCGCAGCAGCCGCCCGCTACCGCCATGCCTCTTGGTACGAATTCCCAACAGTAACGCTAAACACTTGAGATCTATCTCCCTGACATGGTTTAATAGCTCTCATGATTCACGGTGGTGGTCACATGACCCTTTCTCGCAAGGCAGTTCGCCCCGCGCAAACAAACTTTCTGCTCGAGAATGGTGTTTTGCCAGTTAGCATAGATCATCGACTCTGTCCAGAAGTCAACATCATCGATGGGCCTATCACAGACACTCTTGATGCCTACAAATGGATGACAACCGCCTTGCCCAATTTGGCACGAGCTAAGGGCATTGTAGTCGACCCTGAACGAGTTGTAGTCATTGGCTGGTCCACCGGAGGTCAGCTTGCCATGACAACGGCGTGGACAGCCAAGTCTGCTGGTGTGAGACTACCACGTGCCATTCTGAGCTTCTATTGTCCCACAGACTTTGAGTCTGGAGATTTGGACAAGCGCCGAGCTGAAGAGTATCCGGAGAGAACAATGAAGTTGAAAGACATTATCAAGGCACTGCCGAAGAAACCCGTAAGATGCACCCCATTGTAGTTATACAGGAAACAAAAAAGCTAACAGTGTTTCATCTAGCTCACCCAATACGACGGTAATGGGACTGATACTACTGGCTTAGGCTGGGTCCGTCCGGGCGACCCCCGCTCTGAGCTCGTTTTATCGCTTTTCAAGGAGGGCAATGGCCTCCCTCTTCTCCTAAACGGCCTTCCTAAAGACAGTATTAACGAACATGACTCATCTGACGATGATTCTGAGGAGGATTCTGAAGACAGCGACGAGGAAGATGTTGAGGACGATGATGGCTGGCTTCACACCCCAGATCCTGAACGTGTGGCAGCCATCAGTCCGCTCGCGCAGCTACGGCGCGGCAATTACAATGTCCCAACTTTCGTCATACATGGTACAAATGACGAGATTGTACCTTATCATACCGCTGTCACGTTTGTTGACGCCTTACGCAAAGCTGGAATCGAAGGACAGCTGCTTACAGTCCAGGGAGCCAGGCATATTCATGATGTCACCTTGAAGTCTGGCACTAAGAGATGGGATGAAACGGTTGCTCCAGGCTACGAGTTTCTCTTCGAGAAGCTAAGATGCTGAGGTGAATGAGTTTAAGATTTCATGATGTACGGGTCTGCTTCATGTACATATGGCGTACTGGCGCTTGGGATGCTTCCAAAGGTTTGGTCTTTGTTTTCACGAACTGTACACATGGTAGTGTAAATACCCTTGATTTAGGTCATTATTGATCTCAAAGAAGAACATTCGAAATTTTTCAATATGCATATTCATCATCATTTGCGAGGCTTCCCTCCGACAATCGGAGTTTTCAATTCTACCTTCATAGGTTCATCAGACACGCCTTGCTTGACCACTCAAATTTCCTCAGCGCATAGCCCATTTCCCCTGTCTACGTACCTAGATGATTTTTCACTACAACGAGCTACACAAGTTAACCACTAATTTTATCTCCCTATTTCTTCGTATGGGTGATTGTAATCCGAAAGACTAATGTATGCACTTCATCGTGATACGTACGCATCGAGGTAGCAAACAAAAAACGTTAGCCCTCTACTTCACCCACTTTTCACTGCATGTTGCATCGCATGCAGCTCAAGTCTTTCCGAGAGTCCAACCAGACCCCATACCCTTCATTGTCCCCGTTCCTACAATGGACATTGTTAGAATGCGCCGCGACTCAGTTTGAGGAGTCGGCCCGTCGGTCATTCGGTCGGCCACATAGTATTGTTATGTGGTGCGAATATACATATGCACCCGTAACTCGGCGACTTCAACGGTTCGGCCACTATGAAAATGTGACCGATTGTTGGTTCATGGGTTCTTTGGGGAAATTACCGGGGAAATGGTTTGTATGCATAATCAGGTGAAATGAACAAGGATGGTCTGGTGGACGATTTGTCGGAAGGAGGGAGGGTGTTGTCGACGAGTCGGTCTGCAAGAGGTTGAAAGAATGAGATTAGTTGCGACGATACTACATGAACCGTTTTGGCAATGGACACATGTGTTGAGTAGGCTCTTTGACCTTGCAATAGTAGCACTTGTATCAATAGCTAGAATGAAAGTGAACATGGTAGCCACTGCGCTACTAATGCTCGCTTCAAACAGACTTTCTCGGACACCCAAAGAACGATGTTAAGAGTCTGTATCAACTCGCAAAACTCGCAAATGACCTCTCAAAGAGATATCATTTAGCATTCTTCATACGTCATAACAACAAAATTGTCTAGTGGCATACTACAAACCCAGCTACAACCAACAGTCGACATTACCATAACCTCTGGTGCAGTTATAACTCCCTGAGTTTCATACGGAGGTTTAGATCTGGTTTCTCCCGCATTATGAACACTCGCTGCTTGTCGAGGTTGAAATTATCATCAACGAGCTGCCACTCAAATTGCCACACTAGACGAGCCAAAATGAGCTTCATCTCCGCCATTGCAAGGTTTTTGCCAACACAGTTGCGTGGCCCAGTACTAAATGGCTGAAACACGTTTTTTCTATCATTTGAATATGCTAGTGGCGCATTGGGAAGCCAACGCTCTGGTGCGAACTTTTCAGGGTGTGCAAAGTTGCTGGGGAGGTGGTAGGCTGGCTGTTGAGAGACATTGACAATTGTCTACAGAAGGGTAGTCAGTACTCGGGTAATAGAATCCACGCAATGCGATGTATTGATCGTGGTAATTTAGGAAGTCTGCTTACATTTTCCGGTATAGCATGTCCTGCAATAACTGCACCACCTTTGGGGACGATGCGCTGCAGACCGGCTGGAACAGGTGGGTAGATACGCATGCCCTCATTTATAGTAGCCTGCAGCATCTTCAACCCGCCTACACTTATCATATTGATTTCTTCCTGCTTGGTGAATGCGGCCGTGATTTCTGCGCGTAGCTTCTGCATCGACTCTTGGTTCTTTGCCAACAGATACATGATTCCACACAGCGCCGTCGCAACAGTCTCACTCCCACCAATGATGAAAAGACTTGCGTTCGATTCCATTTCCTCGACACTCATGCCCTTTTCATCGTTGTGTCGCAGGATATAAGTCCAAAAGTCAGATCGGTGCGGTTGCTCGCCAGCCGCCAGGCGTTTGTGTACCTTCTCAGCGCTGAGCTTGATATGCTGCATACGCGCCTTGATGTCCTTCTTTGGCAAAAGGGCAATTATGAAGATCGTGAAAGGCTTGAACAGTCTGGCTGCTCCAAATAGCGAAAGCGCTTTGATGAAGGGGAACAGGAGCCCAACCCAGGGGTGGTATTCTCCGTTTGACAAACACCCAAACGGCTCGCCGAATGCTAAATCCCCTACAATATCAAATGCGGTATACTCCAGCCAATTCTTGATATTGATCTCAGTCGTGGAGTTTGCAGCAAGTGCACTCGTCAGCTGGTCAATGTACCGCATTACAAGGCTCTCTTGAGCTCGCAGGGCCTTGTCGCTAAATGCGTGGTTGACCGTCCTTCGTTGTCGTGAGTGGTCTGCGTTGTTGGCTGACAAGAGATGATCAACAGTCTTGTGGCTGCGTGTCATGCCCCACTTTGCAAAGTTTCGGTTTGGTCCATGTCCGTAGATGTCAGTCCACGCTTCGGCTGCAGTGAAGGATACCATATCCGGTGAAATACGCACTGCCTCACCATATTTGGCGTGCAATGAAGTGAGATCGTGTGGCAGGTATCCGCTGAGGATTGATCGAGCATGGGGAATGTGCGATACCGCGCGGCTGATGGGACCTGGGATTGATTTCAAAGGGTGGAATGTTACACGATATATGGTGCGAAGTACTAAAAACGATGACAGCTAGATGTGGTAAGTCTGGGCCTTCATAGGATAGGCTCATCACTCACAAGACAGGCAGCTAGCAACCATTTAGGCACAGTTAACGTCTCGACAGGTTGAATTATCGCCATTGTGGCTCATTCCGTTGATGTTTAGTGATCGGTCTTAACTATTAATTACAAAGTCCACGTTTTCAGAAGATTGATGATATAACTACCACCTTCGGCATCGGCTAATTCTGAAAATGAAGGCTCGGGTACATATGTATGTACACGACTACTTCCAGAATGTCATACCGTTGCGCCAAACAAAAACATTGAGGGTGGAGATTATGGTGGAAACCTTACAGGGTTCTCAACTACAGGTATCCGTAACAAGTGGATGGCCGCCGTTAACCTTCACCGTTATGTTACCTGCACTTCTGACAACACCTGGTCTCATCACCAAACATATCATCATTTTCTGTGTTTGAAGAGGTCTCAAAACATATAAAATTCTTTCTCAGATATACAGCCTAAGATAGCCTTTAGGGAAGTTCAGGATAAATTTCCTGTAAGCGCGCACGGAGCTCGCCCAAGAATTTTGTATTGGCTTCTTTCATCTCGGACGACTTTGTGTTGCCGGTTAAACTATATCAAATCGTTTGTTAGTTTTGCTCCAACTAATATTTTGATCATTTTCGTAATATACATACTCTCCGCAAACTTTGCAGTCCATCAGAAATGCACCGTGGCACTCCTCGCCTAGTTCTGGCTTCACACCAAAGACGAGAGTGCGGCTGCCAACTTCAGTGGACCGCGCAACGATTCTTATGATAAAGCGCCTGATGACGCCAGCAATCCAGCTTTCATCATCGCGCACTAGATCGCTTTGGCACAGGCCAGGAGTCAGGCAGGTGATGAGTACGTTTGACTGATCGGACAATGGGTATTGTTGCGCCAAGTCACGCACTACCCACATCAGCAGAAGTTTCGAGACGCCGTAGCTGTGATTCATTGTTAGCCAGTGTGCAACAAGAATCACTATGTTAAGTCAGATTTACCGATTGCTCATATCTGCGTGCTCTTCTGAATTGAGTGCCGTGAAGAGACTGCCTGGACGGGACTTTTCCTTCAAGGGTGCAAGAAATTGGAGATCGCTTCCCACAAAAGCCAGTCTTCCTCGACTTCCAGTTTTTGTTGCAGATTCTTGAAGTTTGGGGATAACAAGATAACCGAGAAGTGCTGGACTGATAACGTTTACTGTTATTTGACTCTCGCATCCTTCAACAGAAGTGAATTTGCTGGTCATGATACCCGCATTCTGTATCACCGCATCCAGGCGGTTCAATGTCTTGATGCGCTCACCAAACTTCTTCACTGATGCGAATTTGCTGAGATCCAACTCCCAAACTTCGACATTGCTTGTAGGAAGGGATAGTGCAGACGATATCTCTTTCGCAACTTGTTCGCCTTTTGAAACATTGCGCACTGCAAGGATAAGCTTCGACGCCCCGAGACGTAGTACATGTTTTGCCGCTTCGTATCCAAGACCGGATGTAGCACCGGTTACGACGACTGTTTGGCCTGAGAAATCGGATGAGGGCACCGGTGGCTTGACAAAGAACTGAGAGTGAAGGATTGTAGTTGCGAAACCCATAGTGATGCAATTGGTATTCCGGATATGGGGGCAGATGACCCCTCAGCTTGGGGGGCCTGGAAGTTGTATAGCATGGCGATTATTGGAGAACGTTTATCTCCGTGTCTACTATCTCCGGCACCACGCGCGCTACTTTACAAACACCTATCTCCGTATGCAGACTGCTACTAATACTTGCTGGGGTTGCTAGATGCAGCGACCGAATCAAATGTACCCGAAACGGACCGACACGCCCGACTTGTCCATTGCGAACCACGAACTAATGATGTTTTGTATATATGATGCATTAGGTATACAACGTAGTGGTATCGTTGACTATCATAAACACGACTGTGCTACACTACGCAGGGATCTTAAACAAAAGAAAGATGGCGACCGTCCTTCCCTCAAACACTGCTACTCCCGTGGGAGGCACTTCAAAGTACTTTGACACCGATGCACTTGTCGACGGCTCAGCACCCAAAGTCGCTAACAGTGCTGGCTTCTTTAATGCTGCTGTTGCAGCCAACCATGTAAGATTTGCAGCATCCAGCGGCCCCCCTTCGAAAACATGGCTGATTTGGATCATTAGAATCAAGGTGCTGAAGAGCTTGCGCTATTGAAATACGTATACAGCCGCCCGGATCTAGAACAAATACGCGGCAACCCAGATGCAGTCTGCAACGCCATCGACGACTTCGCTGCCACGATCCCACGAGGGTTAATGACCATTGGAGCAGAGAAACGCGAGTTCATAACGAACCTACTTACTGCTGCCGAGCCTGCACCAACCCTGTTTCTTGAATTCGGTTCCTATGTTGGCTACTCTGCCATCTGCCTTGCAAGCGCCATGGTGGCCAGGGCTGGCGCTGGACAGCGCGTTCGCTATGTGTCATTCGAAAAGAACCCCATAATTGCAGCTGTTGCTGCCAGTCTCGCCGATTTAGCAGGTTTACGAGACGTTGTCACCATACATGTTGGCTCGGCTTCGGAGTCGCTGGCACGACTCGTCAAGGAGGGAACAGTGCCGAAAAGCAGTGTTGACTTCATGCTTCTAGATCATTGGAAAGATTTTTACATCTCCGATCTGCAGCTGTGCGAAAAGCTTTCCCTACTCAAATCTGGCACTGTTGTGTTAGCAGACAACATCGTCTTCCCTGGCGCTCCAGAGTATCTAGCGTATGTCCAGGCGGGTAAGGCGGAAGCCTCACTAGATGGATTTAGCTATGCGACGAAAACGGCAGATTTCATTCTTCCTTTTGGCGGCCCGGTGAGTAGCAGACTTCTCCTGTTAAGATTCTTACTGAAATTAATAGGATCAACTCGCCATCTCCAACGTATCTTAGGCTACTATGCCTTGCTCATGTGAAGCCATGAAACGACACCATGACCTTGAAGATACTCAATTGTTTTATGTGTGAAGATTCATAGCTTGACCAAATAACACGTCTTACTCATGCCACCTCTCCCTTGTGGTACGCATTCAAAATGCTAGTACCTCCTTGTGACTTAAAGCTACCAAATATTGAACAATATATGAAGCGATAGTTTTGCAGCGGTGCTCCCGAGGAAACTCCTATTCATTCAGCTGCTAGCACCCTTGTTTTAGGCCTCATACAGAATCCACAGACTTTTCTGTTATCTGGCGATATTGCGATAATGATTTCTCGGTTATATTTAGTGCGTCCGTCCTGGATTTGATTTTTTGTTATTTTCATGACAGTAGCCTACTGGACACATTCTACAATTTCATTTGCACTATACTAGAAAAGTCACCTAGAAGACCCAACCCTCACCAATAAACTGCAGAGAAGATCTATCGTCCATCATTTTCATCAGCTCTGAAACGCGGAAAGAGTTTCCTTGCGGCGCCGCATTCAATGGAATGCCGCGCTTCATCTTCCATTGCTGTGTTGTTGATGTTATCGATTTGAGGTCTGATAGTTCCTTCGCGGGCGAACGGGAAGTCGCTTCCGTATAATATGTGATCCGCACCGGCAAAATCTTGCAACAGCTTAATGGGGGTCTCGAATCCCGTTAATGCAAGATCAAAGTAAAAAGATTTTGCTTCTTTTATAAAATCTTTGGCTGTTTTATCTTTCAGTCCAAGGTCGGCTGTTTGGTGCGCAACTCTCGTTGCCATGTATGGGAGGGTGCCGCCACCGTGAGATAGAATGATCTTGCAGTTCGAGAAGTCACGAACAACGTTGGACGTGATGAGGTTTATTGCTGTTCGGGTTGTCTCGTGAGGAAAATCGATGATAGGTCGGGGAATAGTAGGGTCAGATGGGGCGCCCCAAGTTCTACCAAAGGTTGGGTGAATGAAAACTACTGCGTTACGACTATTAAGTTCCTCCCAAAGAGGACGGAAGTTCTCGTGGCCCAAGTATTTGTCGTCATAACTCGATAACAATGCGACTCCGTCTGCCTTGAGTACGTCGAATGAGTAGTGCACTTCCTCTAGGCAAGCGTCAATCTGAGTGAGTGATGGCACGGATGCAAAGAAACCAAACCGACGTGGGTGACTGGCCGAAATCTCCTTAGCGTACTCGTTGACCAACCGGCATAGTTTTGTGGCTTCATCGGCAGATGAGGCGAATGCAAGTCCTGGAGCGCTCAAGGATAAAATTGAGACATCAATACCGTTGCGGTCCATGAATTGTAGGTCCAGTTCCACATCCCATGCTGGTAGCGTAAGTCCCTTGGGAATTCCAGCCGCGTTTTTCCATTCTGCCAAAGAAATCAGTTCTGGTCTGAACAAATTATCATAAACAACGCACTCTGTACGTATTCAGCCGGAAGCATATGATGATGAACGTCAACTCTTCCCATCTTGATTTTCGTTATTTTGCAATGCTGTGCACATTTTACGGGTCTTCACGGAGCATAAATTGTTGTTGGGTACAAACACTTCGGCCTAATTCTGCATTGACACCGAACCAGGGCCGCTCCATATCTGCCCGACTCGTGAACCCTCACCGACTTAGTCTATTATCAAGATGCAGCACCTGTTACCACGGGCCAGGCAGTTAAATAATATACTGTCATCGCCCCAATGAGTGATTTTAACAACCGCCGTTTACAAACATGGCAGCGCATTTGGTTTTCGCACTACTCTGCTCTGTCAATCTGGCATGGGCAGTGACTCCAGGAGAAATTCAAAATTACCTCAAAACTCAATTATCCTCTAGCTCGGAAGTTGTACTTTCTAGTTCCCCGGCCTACGCTACCGATATCAAGCAAAGATGGAACGCCTATGATGCGCCGTCCTTTGTTGTGGGTGTAAAGCCTGCTACTGCCAATGATGTCGCGACTATCGTAAGTTCAAACATGTCTTACTTACCATTATTTCAACTCTAATGCTAGCTCGAAGGTGCGTTATGCTTCGAGCAACAGTATTCCGTTCATGGGAACAGGTGGCGGCCATGGTTATACCACAACTACTAGCGCCCTGAAGAACGGGATCACCATAGATCTCAGTGGTTTCAAGGGGGTGTCAATTAATTCTACAGCAAGCACAATGACTATTGGAGGCGCTGTCACTTTCGGAGAAGTTTTGAATCCCGTATATAACGCTGGAAAAGAGATACGTAGGTCGTTCTTCCTGAAATTCTTCAACATGGCACTGACATTCACTCCTATCAGAAACCGGATCCTGCTCATGCGTTGGGATGATTGGTGCTACCATAGGTGGCGGCATCGGCGTCTATCAAGGTCTTCATGGCTTGATCATAGACGCACTCCAGTCGGTGACCATGGTAACTGGAAAGGGAGACATTGTTAATGCATCACTTTCCGAGAATAGCGATCTGTTTTGGGGTATCAGAGGCGCCGGACAGAACTTCGGTCTTATAACCTCTGCTACTTACATACTGCATGACCAGACCAACCACGGTCAGGCTTTGAACGGCGATTTCCTTTTCCCAGTCAGCGCGAATGCTACTATCTTCAATATCCTGAAGTCGTTTGCCGGGAATCAGCCCGACGCTCTAGCCCTTACCAGCGCCATACAATACTCGCCTACTTTGAACACGGTTAGTTTAAGATGTCAAGGATGACTACAGGTCACTTACTTAATTAATAGGTCGTCATAATGGTCAACGCCGTGTACGTAGGTGCAGAAAATGATGGAAGAAAGATCCTTCAGCCACTACTCTCAGTAAAAGCTCTACAGTCCAATGTGACCATGATTCCATACAACCGTCTTATCCTGGAAAATCGCTTCGGTGTCGATCCTCTCGGTTGTATCTCAGGTCTTCCTCAAGCAGCATATGGCATGAATTTGTATCAATACGATGTTGCAACCTACCAGAAAACGCTTGCTGCGTATATCGACTTCTATGCTGCAACCAATTTGACGACATCCTACATGGTCATGGAGATGTTCCCTACTAGGATCTCGCTCAAAACACCAGACCAAGCGACAGCATATCCGTATCGAGCCACAATGGCATATTTGTAAGTCTCAGTAGTAATCGCTTGCACCCGTGTTTACTAGCAACTAACATTTCTGTAGATTTATGAGCTTCAGTGGCTTCACAACAGATGCACAGACATCTGCGATCGCGAAGTTCGCAAAAGAGATACGTGGAAGTTTTTCAAAGCTCAATGGCGCAAAGGGACTCGAGGTCTACGTTAACTATGCACATGGCGATGAAGGTCGTAATGCTTGGTATACTGCAGCAAAACTCCCTAAACTTGAGCAACTCAAGCAAAAATGGGACCCACAAAATCTCTTCAATTTCACGAACGGTTTTGCTTACTAGAAAAATCAAGGTTTTTGTTTACTGCACCATCCGAGATCTTCAAGAGTGGCGTCCTCGTCAACGCAACATCAGCCGATCTGAGCCGCAGATTACTTCCTTCGCTAACTCTCATGCTTAACCTCTTCATAGTACTATATTCCTTAGCAACAATCTCAATAGATTATCCTGCTGTTAATTTAAATCTTCTGTACCATCTACCTATTATTACTCCATATGATACTGTGGCAATGCGAGCACTTACAATGATTGCTAACCCAAAAAGGCCGTCTAGACGCGGCTCACTGAAAGGCTGTAGTCTTATTCAATTTATATTATCAAATCTTCCCAAAATTCAAGCATCTTCATGCAATATCCTTCAGTCAAATATCAAGACGTGATCTGTCGTTCACCTTCCATTCACATTGATTTTTCTTCAATCTGCAGGATACCATAGCAAATATGGGTTTAACTTGTCTTTCGTCTACTGAAAGAATCGAAATTAGGCGTTCAGAAAAAAGCTGTTCAACATTACGTAGTAGCTCAGGAAACGCTATGCACTCCCTGATGCTGGTATATGTCTAAACGCAATATTAAAATGCTCGATCTTTGGGCCTGCCGCCCACCACTACAATTTCCTTACATTACAACGCAGGCTAATGCTGCAATGAGCTGGCCAGCCGCCAAAGTGGTACCTATAACGCCTATTCTTGTTGCTCCTCGCGATTGCGTTGTGTATCTTCTGCTTAGTCTTTGTCCGATTCGTATGGAAAGCGCTTGCAGTTCCTTTTCGAGATCGTGCAACCTTGATGCCACAGTCTCTTGGGGTGTGAGGCTAGAAAACGTGTCGGTACTGGAGATTCTCGAGGTTTCGCTGAATGGAGGTGCCAATGTATGTACGTTGGCCGTCATAGCTTTCTCGCCATCTCCGTTGTAGTCATATCCTCGCTCAAATTGTTGCACAAGATTCTGTGCAGCCAGAAGGAGAGTTTGATCATCTCGTTCTATGATTTTCTCCCACTTCTCCCGGATACCTCCGAACGCTACTTTAGTACGCTCAATGTCTTCTTCAACCAGTCGGATGTCTCTAGCAATCTCAGATGTGGCTTCGCTAAGCTCGCTCAATGCCTCTCTTCTTCCAGTACTAGCAATCTCATCCATTTGTCTATGAGCCTCATCTGCCATTATCTGTAATGACTGATAGCGTCTATTCAGGTCTTCATATAGTGTCTGCCCAGCTTCCGTCTCGTATATCATTCGGTTCTCATCTACCAACTGCCGCTGGAATCTCAGTGTAAGTCTTCGGTTCTTTTGAACAATATGATGAAGAATCTTCAAAGCATCAATCTCGACAGCTGAAAGCCTGACTAGTTTACCACCGTGTTCGATAACATCGTGGCGAATCTTTTCATAAAACTCTTCATGTCTCTTTTCGGCCTTGGGCAGGTCTTTCACAGAAACCATGTCCCACATCGTTGTTGCAAGGACCACTCCTTTGAATGCTTCCGTGCCACACATCTTCTTGAAAGCATCTAATGCTCTAACGGCAGTGCCTGGAAGACGGTTGTTCGTGATACAATGGAGATATATGATACCGCTAAGTCTGATGTCTCTTTCATGGGCAGCTGTTAACCAATATGCTAATTCCTGCAATACCTTGCCATCAGACTGCCGACTGTCATTGAACCCAGGTGTGTCCAAGAGATGTACAGTACGGCCTCGAATTACTGTAGTATGTATCGACACACGACTAGTACCTATTTCGTGTCAACTCATGTCGGATGAGGGGGTTCGGGTTCTTGGATCTTACACGAGAACAGCCCATCGCTCGAAAGGCGTTCTGGCGGTTTAGTACAATGCTCGATAAAACTAGACTTCCCAGCACCAGTCATCCCCATAACTGCTATGAAGATGTCATCTGGGCTATCCAATTTTCATCAGCCTCTGTTCTATAATCATCATGAATAACATACCTAATAGCCTGTGAGACATGATTCACCATAGCGGTGTCCATAGGAAAGTGTGCTTGAGCCAAAACAGGATCTTCAAATTCCTTTAGATTACATCCAGTTATTGTCTCCAGTTACTGTGTAACATCAGGTAGCGTGCCTGGAGGTCGCTTGGGCGAACTGCATCTATCTCTGGGACAAGGCTGAATCTCGCTTCCTATGTGTCTTTAGGATTTCGCCAATCAGCAACTTACACGTCAGAACCGCCTGACCGGATGGCTGCACAACGGTTCAGGCGCGAATTTTGTGGCTTGAGCCTAATGTATGCACTGCGCAATCCTACACTCGCTTATTAGGCTACAGGAAACACCACGAAGCGGCATAGACGACATACCCTGGCCACTTTAGCGTCACCTGTGGGGACGTGTACCATCAGCGACTTGCGCAGCCAGGCTCAGAGTTCTCCCATCTATCACAACAACTGTTCAGAAGTTTTGGACATGAATAATTCGAGTGATTCTGTCATCCGAAAGCAGAGTGATGATGTGCTAGATATCATGCAGCTATCGCAACAGCATTACAGATCCCAGCAGAATGCCTCATCATCTGAGTACGTCGACAGCATACATGGGCCATTTTCATCACGCTGACCGAGCATTTAGATCGATAGGGATTTTGGTTATGGGTCTCACCGGTGCTGGCAAAAGCACATTCATTTCCCAGCTCACCAATCAAGACGCTGAGATAGGGCATTCGCTAGAATCATGTAGGTTTGGATAAAGTCTCCCAATTTCGTGGTCTCACGTTTACAGGTACCACTGATATCATTCCCTATGAGTTCCGTAGAAGTGATGGACGGAAGCTTTATCTTATTGACACACCAGGGTTCGATGATACCAGTACAGACTATGCGGGGGTTTTCAAGAAGATTGCATCCTTCCTCTGCACACTAAGTGATCTCTTTGGAAGCAGACTTACCATTGGCGGAATGATCTATGCTCACCGAATCACTGATGTACGAATGTCAGGATCTTCAGTCAAAAGCCTACGCATTTTTGAAAAGATTTGTGGCGAGCATTGCTTCAAGCATGTCACAGTCATCACCACCATGTGGAATCTGATCAAGACCCAAGAAGCAATCGATGCAGCAACGATACGCGAAAACACATTGAAAGAAAGAGCAGAGTTTTTTGGCACGTTGATAAGAGCTGATGCTCGGATGGAGAGGCACTACGACGAGGACAGCGCACGACATATCGTTGAAATGCTGGCTGACAGGCAAAGACATTTTTATCTGCAACTACAACAAGAGATGAAACAAAGCAGAACGATGACTTTAGATAAAACAACCGCAGGGAAATACATGGAAGGCGAGCTGGATAATATGCGCAGGAGATATGAAATGCAAAAGAAAGAACTGGAAGAGAGTGCAGAGGAGTCCAACTATGACGATGATTTCAGGAGCGAAGTTTTAGAAGAGATAAGGGACTGCACAGTTACAGTGAACCGACTGAAAGCTGATCAAGGCAGTCTTTCTGTGACACTTGAAGACATGCAGCATGAGCAAGCGGTATGGTTTACGAGAAAGCATGACGATATACTTCGGGATAGGATATCAGACGAACAGTCTACCCGAGTGACCTATGAGCTTCAGCAAAAGGTTCTCAAATTGGAAAAGGAAAATAGGCGACGAGACGAGAAGGAAATTGCTCAGAACGAAAAGATGGAAGAATTAGAGGAGCGTAACAAAAGACTTGAGGCTGCTCAGAAGGAACTTGAGGATCAACAAGCTTTGCGAGAACGTGTAAAAGAAAAGAGAAATCACCAGTTTGATTGGGTAGGAAGAATGCGGGCATTTCTCGCATCACCTGCAAAGGATCTAAGGGAGCCAGTACCAATAACGCGCCGTGCGGACTCAATGCCCTTAGAAGCAAAAACATCAAAAAGATCAGCCACAAAGCTCACAAGGGGTCGAAGTCAGTCCAGGAACGGCCAAAACGGGAAAGCGAACGCCAAAAATATGACCCATGTTGAGGAACAAGACACAAAGTCATACTACATGTCTCTAAGTTCTCAAAACCAACATAATAAGGGATATGATCAGGTTCATCAACTGGGATACGATGTAGTTGGGATTGTGAATTCAAATCGTCCCAAGCATTCACAGCACAGATCTCTTCCAACTTATACGCCAATAACCCCAGGCTATGCAACTGGCCAAGTTCAATCACTGCCTGGGCAGGTCATTATCGATCCGTACGGACTGAAACGCACTATACCTCCATCTACAGGTTCTCTCCCGCGAAGATATGATGATACCACACATACATCCGTCTGGCAGTCTCCACTTCAATCTGGCTCATATCATGACAACCAGTATGACGAACTGACTTCGCGCGGTCGTAATCAGGCAAGATAGACAAATCATGTGACGACTAGGCTGTTTTCAATCATCTAATATACGATTTTAGCTTCGTTGCTAGTAGCATTTTCCAGTGTTTTTCATAGACAAAGATGATATGTATACCACAAGAACCGATACATCTTGCCTCTGCTCTTCGCCGTATTTCTCGAGCTGACTCGCAGAAATCAATAAGAAACGCCTATTGGAGCGATATTACGCATGTTATTGGCTATAAGCTGCGGGAAAGGTTTCCAACTTAGTCGTTTTGTGGCGCAGCGAGGTGCATGCACTGCCCCACTTGGGGCAATGCACATTACACGAACCGCATTATCTGCGGTTGAGCTGGCGCTCGCCGGTCAGCTCCTTCAGAATGGCTGCCTAGCAGGAACACATATGGTGGATTGATCATGACGCTGGTTTGTCGCCGTTCATTTGTACAAATAACCCTATCTCTAATTAGTGAACCCATCCAATTACTAATCCTGTGGCTTGCATACAAAAGCGAACAGCACAGCCCGGCTCTCAGATGTGTAATGCTGGTCATGGTGTTTGATCATGGCACGCATGCATCATATATGCACCTGCAGTTCCAGCTCGTATAGCCCTAGTCATGCATTGTTGCCTTCTAACATTGCCTTGCAAGGCCGACTTGAATGCTGCATTCACATTACGAGGTTGCATTTATACGACAACTTCTGACTACCTTCTTTTCATATTTTCTGTTAAACATTTTGGTTGTATTGCGCAAACATGACAGCGGACAGAGGAGGCAGGGTAGACAGTCCTCATCGTGAGGAACTTCATCTCCCGAATCTCAAGTACGACCCTGCACCCCCTGATTAGATTTGCATGCTGACTGTGTCTTGAGGCCCAATGATATCATAATCGCAGTGATGGGTATTACCGGCTGTGGCAAGACAACGTTTGTGAATCTGTTTGCAGAGACGCCCCTCGAGGTTGGTCATGGATTGGACTCATGTGGGAGACGCTATCTTCAATTCAAGTCATTTTTCTAAACGTCTCAAGGCACAGTATCAGTACAAGTGGCAACTTGCAAAGCCGAAGACGGTACAAGATTCTACCTTGTCGATACTCCAGGATTCGATGACACATATCGCTCTGATTCCGAGATCTTAAGAGAAGTCGCGCTTTGGCTTAACAAAGCACACGTGTCAAATGTAAAGCTCGCGGGTATCATATTCCTTCAGAGAATTTCAGATTTTCGAGTCGGCGGCAGCGGCATCAAGAACATCAAGATGTTCCAGAAATTATGTGGAGAAGATACCCTCGCGAGCGTAGTCTTGGCTACAACAATGTGGGAACAAGCCGGCGAGAATGCCGGAAAAGAGAGGGAAAAACAATTGAAAAGAGAGCCTCAACTGTGGAAGAAGATGATAGATCACGGCAGTAAAGTTTATCGCCATGACAGTGGAAAGGCTTCGGCGACCAAGATCATCAACTACTTAATAGCCAGAAAGCGACCAGTCACACTCGACATCCAACGCGAAATGGTTGACCAAGCAAAAGACCTCGTTGACACAGGCGCAGGAAGCGAGCTAGCTTCAACAGTGGAACTTTTGATCAAGAACTACGAAAGAAAATTGAAAGATCTAGAGAAGGAACTAAGGCTGGCGCGAGAACAGCATAACAAGGAAGATCGGGAAATTATAGAACAAGCCAAGAAGGAATATCAAGAAGGTCTTACAAAGCAGCGACAAGAAATGGTGAACCTGAGAATCAGCTCAGAGCAGTTGATTGAGGACGCGAGGAAACGCTTCGAGGAGCAAGAAGAAAGACAGAGAGAGAACATGAAGCTTTTACGGGAAGCCCATACTAAGGACCTTGAGCAGCAAAGAATTTTGGTACAAAAACAGTTTAGGGAGCGATATCTGCGGGATATGTCGAATGCAGCATGCGTAATGATGTAGATACGAACGGAGAAATGAAATTTAATCATTCTTTTCATTTTTTGTTTCATGAAGGATTACTAGTAACCTGATTAATGGCGTGCGGCTGTTACTTCTGGCCTTAGCTTCAAGCATGATGAGAAGAAAAGTCTATGTAGTGTGTCGCTGTTTTGGCCCTTGGAATCTCGGCATTGATCCATAACTTATGATAGGGTTGGCGTATTTGTTGCTTCAGAATGAAGCTACTGGGAGTCTGTTCCATTTTGATCTGAGAAATTCATTAATTATTTTAATCATGGTCTTGATTAATCTTCATATTTTTAGGCTTGGGATAGCAGTACCGCATATGTTGTAGAAATAGCGAGACGAGGATGCTGTACCAAACCTAATAAGTCTTAAAATCGTCTTGGTGCTATCCACAGAGATAGCTTTATGCATTTTTGAGTGCAGTATATATGTTTCTGGTATTATAGGCTTGAAAGAGATTTGAGTGTGAAAGTATTTGTAGGATTGTTTGATGGAATATATTCGAATTGTGACAATACAAGGCCTACCAATACATGAAAATGGTAAAATAAACAGCATTCTGTTTATCGGTGAAACGGGATTCGATTGATTCAGGCACATTTGCAGGTTGTCTTTAGAGATTTCATAAAGAATGGCATTGTGCACAGTAGTAGAAATGCGAGTCCACAGGTTACAGTAAGCGAAAAATTGTATTTAGAACTTCGAGATTGCAATAATTGCACACAGCGCAATAAAATTAGATAAATACTGTCGGATACAACGAGCGGACGAATTTAGGCGGAAACTACTGATCTACTTCGTAAGTGGTGTCGTAAGTGCCTTTAGTTTGTCCAGTCACGCAACGCCATGTGGGGCAAAGCGGAGGAGCTTGCCATTGGCAAGGCCGAGGTAGATTGGGTATGAAATACCAAAGATGTCTAATCTTTAACTTTAATGCTTTTATGCTTCGTACGTTCCGAAGCACATCTCGATTATTCCAAACATCATGACAGACTCACATAAGCGTGTCGGCCTGATTGGTCTTTCAGCAAAAGGGTTGGTGTTAAGCACCGAAAGAGAAAGATCCGACACACGGAACGGCTAACATAATAGATAGCACCTGGGCATCTCAATCCCACCTCCCTTACTTCCAAAAGACCTCCAAATACAAGATTACGGCCCTTCAAAACAGTTCGCGATCCGCTGCTGAAGCAGCAGCTAAGAAGTACTCCTTGGGCGGCGTCTCGACACATGACAGCCCGACCTCGATTGCTCAAGATCCAAATGTCGATATTGTAGCTGTCAGCGTCAATGTACCTCAGCACTACGATCTCATCCAGCCAGCACTTGAAGCAGGCAAAGATGTATTTTGCGAGTGGCCACTCGCTCGGAACGCTGCGCAAGCTGAAGAGCTAGTGAATTTAGCGAAGAAAAAGGGAGTAAAGACCTTGGTCGGACTACAAGCGCGTCAAAGCCCGTCTATTATTAAGGCGAAGGAAATCGTTAGCTCTGGAAAGTTGGGAAAAATCCTCGGAACGACAATGTTCGGCCACGTGAGTGTATCCATTTCTCAAGCAGTACTCATTTCTAACAATCTATTAGGGCTTAGTTTTCGGAGGAAAAGTAATAACAAGCCAACTGTATTCACTGCCTATTGAAGCGGGAGCTAACCTATTGACTATACCTTTTGGTCACGCCGTTGACGCATTGTGCTATGTTTTGGGTAGTGAATTACAGGGTATTCTTGCTACCCTGTCCAACAATTTTCCCGAGGTTGTTCATGTCGATGAAGATGGCAAGCCGATTGAAAAGCTTAAAAAGACAGCGTATGACTTTGTCAGCATTACGGCGTCGCTCATAAATGGTGGTGGCAATGTCGCCGTGACATACGCCCCAGAACAATCCCGCTCTGGACATAACTTCTACTGGCAAATCGTTGGCTCGGAGGGTACTCTGGTTCTTGAAGGGGGCATGAGCGGCCATGTTCAAATGTTCCAGCCATCTGTCAAATTGGCAGTCGGCGAGGGAGAGCTTAAGGAAGTCGAAGTCGAAAAGGCAGATGACTTTTCCTTCAGTGTGGGGAAAGCCTGGGACGCGTGGGCCGGCATTGGGACGGAGAACGGATACAGTACCACGACCTGGGAGGAAGCGCTCGTGAGGCATAAGATGATTGAAGCTATTTATCGCAGTGCAGACAAGGGCACGCGTGAGAACTATGTTTAAGCTTCATTAATATCTCTGGCCAGCGCTAGCGCAGGAAGCAATGCACCTCGGTTGTGGCGCATAGTACTAGTAACGAGCGCTCCTCTAAGTATCTTGGTCGAACTGGGACTTCCCATCAACACAAAACCATCATGGAATACTTCTACTAGGGCCCTAGCTGCGAAATTTCACTCTCTACAGTATAACATAACTAAGTTACGTCAGATCCACAATTGTTCTGACCAATCTGGGTAATAATTGCTGTTCACAGCCACCAAGCCTTCTATTTGCCCGCTTACAAGCTTTTTCTTACGTTATAGTTACCATCCCATCGCTCATTTTTCCAGTCAAGCGCCTCATGAGGGTATGATGTCACACAACCAAGTCAGTTTACACTGCAAAGCAAAGCATGAATCATCCGTTTTCCCGTGATGGGAAAAATCAGACTGGCGCCCTTGCGCCTCCGAGCTTCCATGATCTGTTCTCGACTATTACATACAAACTGTACGTCCTGGACCGCTTTTTTAAACTATTGATAATTTAATTGATCTCTCGGCATCCAAAAGCTTGTTCATCCTAGGGTCTTGTTACAGTCTAGGCTGTCGAATCACTGGTACTCCATCAATATTTGGTGATAGTGGTTGCCGCTTTACGCAAGACCAACATCTTGGGGCCGCCTAGAATTTCCATCGACTCGAGGAGAGAGAAAAACAGCCGTACCCAGGAATATCCAAAACTTCATCATTACTTTTACACCCACGATGCACTCCTCACCAACTCCCTCGCGTTCTTCAACCAGCACCTCACGTGATACACAAGAGAAACCACCATCTCCAACCTCCTCACTCGATCCAACCAAAAAAGCCAACACAGACTCGAACCTAGATTATCTCACTTGGAAGTCCCCCTCCGACCCCTCCAACCCCTTCAATTTCCCCACCACCAAAAGATTGCGCATCACCCTCCTCGCATGCAGCATGACCTTCGTCGTCCAAGTCTCCGGCACAATGCTCACATCAGCCGCACCGCAAATAAACTCGAGCTTCAATGTCAGCGATGAAGTGTTCCCGCACTCGTACTGGCCGGTGCTAAGCTGGAACCTCGGCGGCGCAGCAGCGCCACTGCTGGGTCTCCCTCTGATGGAGAATTTCGGCGTGAGATGGAGTTACCTGATCATCTACGCTGTTATGATCATCTTTATCATTCCACAGGTGGTGGCAGACAATTTCGCTACGTTGATAATTACGAGAATTATCACGGGGTCATGTGCGGGTGTGCTGGCGAATATCACGTCGGGGATTGTAAGCGACATCTGGAGACCGGGGCGCGTGCATAGCTTCTGTACGTCGTTATATATCTTTGCATTGCTAGCGGGATTGAATATGGGGCCCGTTTTTGGGAGTTTGGTGGTAAGGTATACGACTTGGCGATGGTAAGATGATTAGCTACGTACGCGGTGTGATGTTAGACACTGACGAGTTCAATAGGATCTTCCTGGGCCAGATTATATTTTACGCCTCGCTGATACCACTGTTGTTCTTGCTGCTCCCAGAAGTCCGACCAGATGTTATTCTTACGCGACGTGCCCGCCATATACGCGCGAGCACGGGAAAGGAAGTCTACACTGCAGCTGAGAAGCAACAGACAAGTTTCCGCGACATTCTCAAAGAGACACTCGTTCGACCCACACGTATGCTCTGCACAGAAGGTGTAGTGCTATCATTCGGCTTTTGGAGCGCATTCTGCATAGGAACCGCCTTCATGTTCACACAGTCTATAGTCCAAGTCTTCTCTGAACTCTATGGCTGGACCTTCTTTGGAACAGGCCTAGTCCAGAGCGCCGTCGTGATTGGAGAGTTCATAGGACTTTTTGCATCACTGGTGCAAGACCGAATTTATTTTGCATCTGCCGGACGAAATACGGAAAGCCCAGGTAAACCTGTGCCAGAAGCTCGCCTATACCTGAGCATTCTCGCGTCCTTTATCGGCTTGAGTGGGGGTCTCTTCTATTTTGCTTGGACATCGTATTCCTCCATACCGTGGATTGTCCCCAGCATATCGCTTGCTTTTGTGGGCTTTGGCATGTTTTGCAGTACGGCTGCGGTGACGTCGTATGTCGTTGACGCATATGCAAAGTACGCAGCCAGTGCAATTGCCGGCATTGCTTTTCTGGAGAACACCATGGCGGCGTTCTTGCCACTTGCAACTCAGGATTTGTATCGTGCACTCGGCTTCCAGTGGGCTAGCAGTTTATTGGGCTTTGTGGCATTGGCGTTGAGTTGCATTCCGTTAGTTTTGCTGAGATACGGGAGGAGCATACGTGCGAGGAGCCCGTTCATGAATCAGGCAGGTTATGAGAATTAGATATGATGATAGCTTTGTAACTTCCGCTAATATGACATTGAGAAGTTTTACATCCTTCAAAACAATGATCAATCTGGGTATCATAGCCAGGTCTGCTTTTGCATCAAATCAAAAAGTCTTCAAGATAATGATTACAGATTGATTCCATGTAAAAGCCTGAAAAAAAGACTCTACTATCTCTGCATAGGACCCCAAAAACACGCCAAGGAATGCAAACGTACTTTACTTCATCTCCGCTTCTACTCCTTCTCAACCCCAGATCCTTCCCTCCATACAATGAACACTCAGCCCCAGGTGATCTCACCCTCTCAAACATCAATATATAATAGATGCGAATGCATGTGTATGTTTGTGATGATAATAGAAAATAAAAACAGATGAAAGAAAAGGAGGTTTTACACAGCAGCGTAACCACCCCTGTTACCACTACCCTGCACAGTATCCAGCACCTTTCTTGCGAAATCTTTCGCAACATAAGGAATATCGCGGATCGCATCACCATGAGGTAGCGCGTCCCAGCCACGAGCACCGTAGCGGTTGTAGTTGAGCCAGGAGCCAAAAATGAGGTATGAGGCGATTGCGAGGAAGAGACTATTTTTGGATACATGATTAGTTTCTTGAATTTGAGTTTGATGGAGAAGAAGAAAGGAGGGGGGAAGGGTGCACGTACATGATGAAGAACCAACCAAAGAAGCCCCAGTGAGAACCGTTATCGGGCTCAGGCGCATCTGCGCAGGCGTATTTGGTCCGCCATTCCAAGCGCAGTGTGCGGACCTTCTTGTCCTTGGTGTCAGGCTCCACCGCATACCCACAGAAGCGAAGACTGGCGTCGCTGTCTTCGCATTTGCCCTTGTTGTTTTCCTCCCTTGCCTTGAGTTTGCCTTCTTTCTTGTCATCCTTGTTGTCGTCCTTTTTATCGTCATTCTTCTTATCACCATCCTTCTTATCACCGTCCTTGTCGTCTTTGTCGCCATCCTCACGTGGGCTGTTGTCCACCTCATTGCCTTCGGATCCGGACCTATCCTTGTCACACACAAACTCGATAATGGCCCGCTGATCGATGCCTTCCTTCTTGTCATCGAATGGAAATCGACCGCCGTTTAGAGTCGCTCGGACACCCTCGCGCGCATCAGAGTTGCTCTTTGAATGGCCAAGATTCTCAAACTTGGCGTCGATTGTTCGGCCGTTCTGCATCGGGTAGGTCCCTGCGATGTCGATGGGGGTAATGGATGTACTGTTCTCCTTGCTGAGATCAACCATTTCTCTAATAGCGCATACCCTTGCACCGTGGTGGCATTCGGTATCGAGCGAGCCGCCCTTGTGCCATTTGAGGGCATTACAGATATCAAGGGTGAAGTTGTACTTGAACTTGAGCTCCTTTTCCAGGTCTGACTCTTCCCAGTGTACCGTATGGGGGCCACCTAGCTCTTTGAAGTTGAAGTGTGCACCATCAGCGAGGATGTCCTTGCAGTCGAAGGCCCACGCCGTCTGGGGGAGGAGCGTTGTAGCAGCGAGAAGGGAGAGTAGTGAGGCGCGGGACCGTGAAGGTGCCATGACGGCCGTGGCGATGTGATGCAGGCGTGATGTCGGATACAAGGAAAGGCGACGGCGCGATCTATCGAGGCCCGATACGAGGGTACGAGGGTAGCACGGGGTTGTGAGGTCAGGGAGGCAGGCTGCGAGTCGTCAACTGGTCTTCAGAGGCCTTATCGATAGGTCGATCAACGGATAAGCCGGGTCAGAGGCTTAGAAAAAAGCGTAGTTCAAGAAGACTAGTAGCGATACGGGGGGATTTGCGCGAGACGGTAGTGTCGCGTTGTCGCGTGGGCCGTGTGAGGAAAGTTGGCGCGGATGACGACGTTCAACGGCTGTCTCGCTTAGTCAGACGATCGGAGGTCTCGTCTCCTCTGCGCCGATCGACTGCAACATCAAACATTGAACCATCACCTTCACAGCCACGGGTTGACGATACGGACGACGACAACAACGGCAATGGCGTTTGGTCAAGACACCAATGCGCCGAATGTTTTGCGCGGGGAACGTGCAGTACTGTTGCATCCTCATCAGATCGCCTCGTGGCAGATCAGACTTTGCACGTGACGGACAAGCAATTGGCACGAGACTTTAACCTTCACCATCAGGGATAGTGTCCTCTCGGCATGGTATTGGCAGATCAAACCCAAGTATCACTCCGCAGCCTATAAAGGCAATAGCCACATCGATTTTCAAGTATTGGTGGCTGCTAGCGCCCCTGTATGGAGCCCTGCGCGGAGCATTCCCCTTGGAATACGAGCGCATGGTGCTAAAAATAGCCCGTCACGTCGAGAAAAGGCTAGGGTCCATGTGGTACATTGTTCGTGACTTGCAAAGCTATCCAGTATACCCCCGGCTTGACTGGCTGAACCGCAAAGCAAATACCCACATTCTGAAACACGTAGTAATGTAGTAATGGAAATGTGCGGAAATTTTCTTAATATTGACATACGAGAAAAGAGCGACTAGTCTTCCTATGCGGCCCTTGCATCAGGCTCTATCCATGTTAGATGTAGCTAGTATACTAAAAACAACAGGCTAGTGGCCTGGTTGTGCAGGACACACGGCATGAAAACAAGATATTGAACAAGGACTGGAAAAATGACCAAACGCCAGCAATGCAAAGTCTAAACCCAAACAAGAAATTGATGATATCCCGCGCATCATACTAAGCCAAAGGATCGTGGTGACGTGGAAGTAAGAACTCAAAAAAGGGGACAAAAAACACCAGGGATTTAGGAATGCAGAAAATACAGGCCAGGACGGAAACAGTGCTATCGTGAAATGTTGCCAGTTGGAAAGATGCAAGAAAGGATCCAAGAACAAGGGTGGAAGCTGGTTCCGGGTGGTGGAAAATACAATGTGCTGAATGCGTACCAAGGACAAAATGGAAAGAGATTCGCAGAAAATTGAACGGACAATGCTGTTGATGGAGAGGAGAAGGGAGTTGCGCCGTGAACTGCTCATGTATGCCGAATCATGAGAATTGGAAAAAAAGAAAATCCCCAATGCAACCCGAGAAATGCAATTAGGAAACGAAACACATGTAAAGCACTTTATTTCCCCTGGCCTCCTTGCTGCTGGCCTCCTCGGGGTTGAGCGGGCATTGGGTACGGGAAGGGAGCATAAGGCAGTTGGTAGCCCTGGCCAGATCCAGAGTTGCTGCCAGCAGTAGAGGTGCCAGAAGGAGAAGAAGCGGAAGAAGACATTGTGTTTGTAGTGTTGTTGCTAGTTGCTTCGAGAGGTTGAGAATGAGACCGTTGTAGACGGTCAGACGGTCTGGAGGAGCCTTGTTGACTGGGAGATTGCAAAGAAGATAAGGTACCTGTTGATTGGTGACGTAAAAGTACGGAGCGGCTTTGACGAGGAGTAGACTCGGATGAAGGTGTGTGTGGATTAGTGATAACAATCACTGGCGTGGAGACAGTTTGTTCAGCGGTAGATTGAGGAGTTTCCGTAAAGTCTTGAGAGGTAGAAGAACCTGTGAAAGGGCTCTTTTCAGATGTGTCGTTGGTATTGATCGGCTTTGTGGAGTTTGATGCGCTTGAAGTCTCGGAGGGGCTATCACTCATATAATGGAAAGCTTAAATGGTTGATGTTTGTCGAACTCGAGAAGGCGGTTCGAAGAATGCGTGGTAGTTTGAAGGACTGCTCGCAGTTGGTTGGGAGGTTGTAAGCGTAAGAGTGTGGTGATGGTGGAATGTAGTTGTTGTGTTGGGTGATGATATGTTGAGTTGAAAGTGGTCCAGTTCTTATATCCTCAACGACGACGACACGAGCCCCCAATCTCGATGGCATTGAAGTCCGGTTTCAAGATCACTAAGAATCGGTAACTGAGAGAGTGAAGCCTGAATAGAGAAGATGTCCTAAGCCGGCCGAATATCACATCACTCGAGCAAGTCGTCCACCGCACGTCTTGTGAGGCCCAAGCGTCCGTTTGTCCGAGCAGTAACGTTGAATACTATTGGACTATGTAACAGCCAATTTTGGCCTTGGGGTCGTGAGCCGGGACCCGTAGTGCTGGAAAAGATGACACTGGTAGCGGAGCCGGTGGATGGGGTAGGAGCGTGTGCGGATGCCTTTTTTAGAAGTGTGGCGTAGGGACCACTCTCTTCTCCAAGTATTCGGAATGCACGGTCGGCAAAGTGCAGCGGGATGCTGTAGGGCTGGTGGTGTGTCAGATGCTTATTTCGAGCCGCACGCACGAGACTTGGTGTATGCCGTCAGAAGTTGCAGACCAAGGGATAGGATATACTAGTCCAAGTCTGGCTGTGGCTGGACGGTGATGGATATGGGATATGGGATATGGGTGTAGGCAACCGCTTCGACGGCTGAAGCGTTTGATCATCGCTTCACAGCCCAACACGAAACCAATACATATACATGGCGAAGTTCCATTCTGGCGTCTTCTCGCATTCGGCGGTTCTTGACGGAAGTCTGCTTTGTCGTGCCTGTGATAAGCATGCCAAATAGCCAGAGACAGCGGGTCGCTGGTTCAAGACTAGGTGCGCAGGGAAAAGGCGACTAAAAGGTTTACTGTGCGACTCTGTCATGGCAAGTGTGGCGCGCGTGCCGTGTGGTGAACGCTACCTCTTGTCGGTATGGCCGATCCAGGTATCTGGATAAGCCAGAGGGTTTTTGGGCGCGGTTGACAGTCGATTGGTCGGCTGAGAGGGGTTCCCATTATGATTTCGTACCGGCCGGTGGCTCGAGTCAAACGCACGGGCGAATAAGACAATTAGGTGGTTAAAGAGTCGCTAATATTAGCTGTCTTAACACGAGGTGTAGGTAGTTGCCGGGCCAGGGGGGGTTACTCAGCTCGCGTCAAAATTCCGCCGTCGAGCCAGCTGCACGCCGTCATGCAGGACTTTTCCTCCCGATCTGTCTGCCATGAAGTCATCTCTGCCGCCTCCAAGGACATGTGCACAACTTGTGAGATGCACCAGACACCTGGTGATGATGATGCAGTCGGATGTTTTGTCAGCGGTCGTGTTGCACTCGCTTGCGGATTACTAGTCGTATTGAGGAGCGAGAGACCAGGGGATCATCACCTCCCGCCAACCACCTTTTCTTCTAGAAGTTTGCCCAAACCGGAGCCTGGCGGCGCAATCTGATGTCAAGGCAGTCATGCTTCGCAGTCCGCACATCGGGCTGCAATAAGCCTCCAAGTCTGCGACGATGCATCTGGCGGTCAAGAGTCTGCCTGCTGCGTGTGTGCCTGGGAGTTTACTAGGCGCGGTGGGCCTTGGCCAGACAAGACCGCGCGTGATACGATGCCCATTGTGAGAAACCCATGATTTCTCCATGGTAATGGTTTGATTCAGATGATGAACGACACGGCGCAAAGCACCTGGGCTCGGTGGGTACCTTGCCGAGACGCAGATGGATGGGTCCAACGGGCCCGGGCAGCCACAACAGCCCTTAATTAGCTTTGGATCGCCATTAAAAGGGGTAATTAATGCACTTTGCCGGGCAAAATCATGCTGACACAACGTTGTCAAGCAATCAAGTGCAGCGCGTCATTCCCATTCTTAACACGCTGTGGCTTACTAAAGACGCCCAACCGATTATCTCATCACTCGCGCCTTAGCAAAAGCCACAACAGGAGCGCGATAGTGAGTCGTTGCAAATACATTGCAAAGATATTGCAAATACTTACATTAGCAATATCGGAAAAGGCGCCTGTCGCATCCTGGAGAAAAATGCAAGGTCGAGCACCAGCAGTACATACATAAAGACAGCGTACGAGACTTGGGCTAGAGATAAACCACGACTATAACTTGCTTTGAAGTAACTCAGACACTCGAATAGCTATATAACTACCTTGTCTGATTTAATAAACATCATCACTTCCAAACATGGCCATTGTCCATCGTGCCGCCCTGCTCAGCAGCCCCGGCAAGCCTCTAGAAATAACAGATGCAGACACCCTACACGCCCGTCTAGGCGAAGTCCTGATCCGAAACCATGCTCTTGCGCTTCAGCCTCTCGATGCCAAGATGCTGATTGCAGGTTACGGCCCTGCCGCACACCTCGCATACCCCGCGGTTCTTGGTACCAGTGGCGCAGGCATCATTGAAGCGGTAGGCGAGCAAGTCCAAGGACTGGCCGTGGGTGATAGGGTAGTCTTTGATACCAAAGCCTATGTTGATGCTAGCAACAACCGACGGATGGGTACCTGGCAGCAGCTGGTCGCATGCGATGCCAAAACCGTAGCCAAGGTATGTGTGTGCTGTTAAAAGCCAAGGTTCACAACATCGATTACTTGGCTGATGTGTAAGCAGATTGGCGACGTCGCTTTCGAACAAGCTGTATTGGTCGATTTTCCATTGCAAACAGCCGTTGCTGCCTTGCACGTCTTCCTTGGGATGGGAAAGCCCGGTAGTGGAGCAAAAGAAGAAAAGGTACTGATCTGGGGTGCTGGAGGCGCGGTTGGTTCGTACGCAGTCCAATTTGCGAAACAAGTAAGTCGTCGATTCCACGTCTAGAAACATCAGCCTAACTAGCACAAGGCCGGGTATACAGTAGTCGTCACAGCGTCGCCGCGGGATGTTGAGCGCCAGATGAAGCTAGGAGCCAGCGAGGTGGTCAACTACAAAGACACTGACGCAGTCGCCAAGCTACACAGTCTGGGACCGTACAAGTACCTCTTCACTGCAAGCGGAGATGCAGCCTCCCAAAGTGCACTGGCATCACTTCTTGACTCCACAGGAGGCAGTTTCGCTAGTGTTCTCCCCAGCGCTGTTGAATTGCCTTCGAATGTCAAACTCATATACACGGCCTTCTCG